AATGGCAATAAGGTGGTAACAGCTCCAAGAATCGACTACTGATGGGAAAAAAAGGTTTTGAGTGAGTGGCGACCACGTATGTTTAAATGAAGTATAAGACGATCGCCCACTACATGGAGTGACAGATGGAAAGTGAATGAATGCAAGTGGCTCCTGACCGTTCCTTATGACAATCTACGGGGGAGGCCTACATTCAGCAGTGAACAGATAACGGCTGATATGATGATGATAATGGCATAAAAAGATTTTATACCTCGAGACTTTTTTTTTATATCGCTGAGGTGGCAAAAAAGCATACGGCCCACCTGATGGTAAGTGGTTACCGTAGCCTATGAACACTTGCAATATTAGAGGTATTACGCGTGCGTTGCCGACCCTGAAGAAACCTCTTTACCGCCCTTTTGAAGAACCCCATGTTGTAGTCTCTTGGGAAAACCTCGGCAGGGAGCTCATTCCACAACCTGAGTGTTCGTGGGAGGAAACATCTCTGAAACCGCGCAGTACGCGACCATTGAGACTGTCACTTTCGTCGTTTAAACCCCTTATTACCCCATTGCTGAACATAATCCCTCACTTGGGGGGTATTGTTAGTAGTTGCCACGCTTGGCAGACGGATTGACAACCGCAGTTAGGCTTTAGAGATGTTTTAAGAGGGACGCAGCTGCACATTTCTCGCCTTCTCTTAGTCGCCTCTTACGAGACCAACGGGAAAGATGGCCTATTTTATGACAGGACCACAGATATAACAAGTAGTAATTGAGATAGAGAAGAGCTCCTATTTATCCGGGTCAAATCAATATATCCCGATCACAGGGATAAAGTAGCGAGTAAAAGTTAATAACCTATTGATATACTTCTTGGACTGTTATAATATTCTGCGCTTATTAAATAATCAATATTTTGTAATGTACGTACAATATATTAGAAATTCAATTAGAAACAGAGTAATACCAAGTTACGATCGCGTGACAATACCGTATTGTAGTCACTTTGTTAAATGACATCATTAAAATAATTTCTGAACAAATATTCAATATCAAACAATAACAGAATAGTTTAGAAAAATAAATACATGGCCTTGAGACGTGCAATATGTAACTGCCTATATTAACACGAGTTCCACATTTGCGGACGTGAAGATATTTACTAGAAAATATTAAAATATCGCACATATTGCAGAACTGTCCATAAGACACGTATCGATTTTACCCAATAAGAACTGAATGTGACAGAAAGTGACTTCTATCCCTCTTCTAATGGTATGTTATTTATTTATTTATTTATTTAGAATAAAATATCAAACGGTAGCAAATGTAATGAACACACACAGTACAGTCTGTACAGTCTCTTAAATTTTATTATTATTATTTCTTTTTAATTATACATAATTATGTGTTATTGTACTGATGCTTTCCTGGCTGAGCGTATCGGGAAACTGTAAAGCTCACTCTATTGATGAATTCAATAAATAAATAAATAATACAATTTTTTTCTGTACATTGATCTAGTTATACTGGGATACTCTGAGTTCGTTGCACGTCTGCGTAACCCAACTTCAAGCTGCAGCAGAAGATCAGTATTTGCTTTTAAGCAAAACTATCTCTGAGCTGTGGCCTATTTGGGTCACTGCGAATCACATGGCGAAAACATTTTGCATTTTAACTTTTGTGTTTTATTTTATAACTAACGGCCCGTCCCGACGTCGCACGGGTGGACATTTTTAACATTTCCCTTCACTACTCTGCTCCTATTGATCGTAACGTAATGAAAAGTTTACTATAACCTGCCTAGGAGTATGAAGAAGAATTGTACCAAGTTTCGTTAAAATCCGTCGAGTAGTTTTTGTTTCTATAACGAACATACAGACAGACAGACAAAAATTTTACTGATTGCATTTTTGGCATCAGTATCGATCACTAATCACTCCCTGATAGTTATTTTGGAAATATATTTCATGTACAGAATTGACCTCTCTACAGATTTATTAATAAGTATAGATTATGTAATTTATTTGACTTTAGCTGTAAATTTATGTGTGTCATAGATGACACAAATAAAGTGTTTATCTATCTATCTATCTATCTCTGAAGGCCAGCAAATAGACCCGATTTTAAATAAAATACCAGCTTTATGCCCGTTACTTCGTACGTGCAAATTTAATAAGTAGTAAAACCAATTAAATTTACAATTTCTAAATAACATGTCAAGACTATAACTTCAGAAACACAACTATGTAAACCTCATTCAATTTAGTGCAGCAATATCTGCGTGACGCCGGATCAAACATACACATAGACACACACAATTTTTTTTTAAATATTATATTATTAAGACCCATCATATTTTTTTTTCTTAAATATCTCCCACGTGTACGTATAGCCATCGTCTAGTTACGCGTGTTTCCGCCAAGCAGTTGTGCTTGCATGGTTGTTTCAATTTGATTTGAATGGTGGAATATGGCAGTGAAAAATCTCAATTTTTTTTGAGAGAAGAGAGAAACGCAGAGCTAATTCATACAGCCAGGCGTAGAACATGGCTTTATATAGCCCGGTAGCTAGTAATAGCCTGTCAGCTTACGCCTCAATTTTTTTCATCGCCTACGCCACGACCTGAATTTACAAATACAACGAGTGGTCGTAAAATCACAAATGACTCGGAAATAACTTTATGTCCATTGCATTCGTAATGAGCTTCGTAAAAAAAAATATATGCATTAAGAACTATTTATATAATGTATAGGAAGTCGCCGTATATTCTTACTATTATTATAAACATAAAAATGAGTGTTCCTTTGTTTTTTTTATACTTCTGAGATTGCAAATAAGCATACGACCCACCTGATTGTAAGTGATTACTGTAGCCTAGCAATTCCTAAAGTGGGTTTCGCGGAACCTAGGGGTTTCATAACACAATTACATTTTTTTATGCATTTATATAGACATGAGCAGTACCCATGGACATAACAAAGTAGATATACTGTTTCACACATGATCCCCCCCCCCCATACGTTGCCATTCCCGAGAACTCAGGTGTTACCCTGTAAATTCACTGCCATATTCCACCCTTCAAACCGAAACACAGCCATGCAAACACAACTGCTTCACGGTAGAAACACGAATGGGACAGAGGTGTCTAAGCAAACGACTTTTGTACAGTCTCCCTCTGCTAAAATCTAATATTACATTTATTTTAGCGTTAAGGCGCTGTAAGGTAACATTCAAACTAATTTTTACATTTATAATATTAGTTTAGATGTATGTTTGACGTATCAATACACAGCTGATGTACAATTTTTATTTATAACATTAAAAACTTAAAATTTTGAATATAAAGTTCATTTGTGATTTAGACCAGAGGAAGACTTTGTACAAAAGTCGATTGCTTGGGTACCTCTGTCCCATTCGTGTTTCTACCGTGAAGCAGTTGTGTTTGCATGGCTGTGTTTCGGTTTGAAGGGTGGGATATGGCGTGAATTTACAGGGTACAGAGGAATAACATCTGAGTCCTCAGGAATGCGTCCCCCATGCGTTGCCAGGGGGTATCATGGGCGAAACAGTATACTCTGTTATGTCCATGGTACTGCTCATGTCTATAGGCGACGGTTACCACTTTCCATCAGGTGGGCCGTCAGCTTGATTGCCATTCTAAGTTGTATAAAAAAAAATTCATGAATTAAAATTTAATAGCGCAGTAATAATTTTACACGCAAACGTGTCTACTATGCTTGTCTATGGTTTTGGTAATTTGTGAGCCGCGAAATATACCAAAAAGTCTTTCCTTTGACATCGAATAAAAAATAAAAAATAAAACACTAAAATTAACAGATCTGAGCGGTTCATAACCTGAATAGTTAAATTTGCAATATTCCCACAGTAGAACTAATCTCAAAGTCAATTAAGACAGAACCTTGAATAAAAACTAGTACACAAATCATGTCGTCTCCGCTGCTAAGCACAAAACTGGTTGTTGTAATTCCTTAACGGGATTACACAGGTAATCAGTCGATGGTCTCCCGGCACGTTGTTGCTCGGTCTGTCTACTTGTCTATGGTCAGTCGGTATCATAATATGGTTAGCGCCCAGATCGTCTACATTCACGAACGAGAAAACATCAGTTATTTATGGTTTCTGACTATTTTAACACAAGTACCCATGTATCCTACTGTCCTGTTAATATTATAAATGTAAAAGTTTGTAAAGATGTTTTTCTGTTTATTGAAATTTGATAATTTGTCTATTGAAACTTCTTTGTAATCAACATGTAAATTTAAGTCTAGTCACATCTATATGTGGATATTATTTTTATACTGTATTAAGTTTTCTTCAAATTTTCTTTTTTGACTTGCATCTGTACGTACCAAATATATTTGTTAATATATATTTTATTGGTTCTAAAAATGTCTATTTCCACTGTGACCCTCTATAGCTACATTGTTATTTTAATTAAAGCGGTTAAATTATGTTAAACCATTTGATAAATGTCATTAAGAATAATTATTATTATGTTTTTAGTATAACAGTGAATGTCACATAATGTCACACGCACCTGACAAAAAGTATAAAAAGTAATCGCCATGGATGTCACAGAATACCTTGTGGTATCCATAGTTTCCCACATATCTTTTTTATAACATCAATTATTTACATAATTTTTTTTCTGTCTTTCTTAATTAATTACCATATAATAAATATGATTATGATATGATACTGCCCGCTAGTAATTAATACTCCTTTCCACTCAGGGTTTGCTGGAAGAGAACTCTTACATAGTTAAGCTCGCCTGTTGTACATCTTTATTTTATATATATTATATGTTGTAATTTTTTGTGTACAATAAAGAATAAATAAATAAAAAAATATTGTACGATTTAAAATAGCATATAATCGGCCTACCATATGGAAAGTAGTAATCGTCATCTACAGACTTGAACAGGATCTTGACTCTAGAACTAGAAACATTGCAATTTTCCTCAAGACTAATAAATTAAAAGGAATACTCACATTGCACGTTCACGTAGATATCCTTGTATACGTATCCGATCGAGTTGGTCGCGTTACAGCCGTAGTTGCCAGTGTCCTTCTTCACCAGGTCGGTGATGATGATGAACTTGCCGTCGTTGCTGACCCGCCGCCGGGGGTTGCCCGGCGTTTGATCGATCGGCACTCCGTTGTGGATCCACGTGATCTGCGGCGCAGGGGTGCCGCCGGCCTCACATCTGATCTCAGCTGTTTCACCTTCAGCTTTGTTCTGGATCTCAGGCTCCACGGTGAAGAACGGTGCCGCTGTAAACATATTTCAGAATTAAAATATATTCTAAATTTATATTACACTAGCTGTATCTCGCGGCTTTGCCGGTATTGGTTGTATTGTGATATTGAATAACCTATAGCCTTCCTAAAAAAATGAGCTATCAGATGCAAAAAGAATTTTTCAAATCCAAATGGTAGTTTCAGAGATTTTTTTTAATGGATGATAATGGAATGGTAATCCTACACGCGCTATCGGTATACACCGGCGGGGCACCAGTGAAGGATGATAGGTGAGGATGAAGCAGATCAGTTACGAATTCAATAAGCCCATCAGCCCGTTCATCGCCCATCGTGACGAATTCAATAAGAATTGTTCACGATGGTTTCCAGGGGGAACCACATGAAAGTCGACCCAAAAGGGCATGTTGCTAGTAATGGGGTTGTCAAACTCCATTGCTAACAACCCCTTTCCCCGCAGTTTCAGAGATTAGCGCCTTTCAACCAAGTCTTTCGTTTAGTTACATTAGTACAGATATATAGGAACATCCGAGCCGCTTTTCTGCCCACACTAAAGGACAAAAGCGTGAAGTTATCATCTACATATTATATTTTCCACGTGCGGTAACGGAAGAAAACATATCACCATTTGACCACTCCTTTTCATTCACGGAATGTCAGAAGTCATCCATGAAGCAGTTGTGTTTGCATGGCTGTGTTTCGGTTTGAAGGGTGGGATATGGCGTAAATTTACTGGGTACAGAGGAATAACACCTGAGTCCTCAGAAATGGCAACGCATGTTGGGTATCATGGGAGAAACAGTATATTCTGTTATGTTTATGGTACTGCTCATGTCTATAGGCGACGGTTACCACTTTCCCTCAGGTGGGCCGTCAGCTTGTTTGCCATTCTAAGTTGTATAAAAAAAAAACCTCTTTTTCAATGTTATTGTCCTGGAGGGGTTTTACTAAGTTTGATAAGTGGTTAAAAATTTTGATCGTCATGTGGTATTGCTCATTTTTGTAAAGTGTAAAATGAGTTGAGTCTTTTTTATTTATTTTACCATTTGTTTATTTAAAGCACTGCTCATGTTACACGAGTAATTACATACACCTACATGTGCCAAAATTATTTACTACCTGTAAAAACAAACTGTACTATCACACAGAAGTGGCATATATGTAATTATTATTGCTTCGTTCAACCCACATAATTGACCTAAATAACAGTGACCGCCGAGCTTCGAAACGTCCATAGTGGAAATTGTACTAGTTACCATAAAAAAATCGATTAATTTGTCAATAAAACAGACAGCCTGGGACACTGGGCGGTGTTTATAAAAGAATAATTATAAAGATTTATTAGTATGTACTTGTATTCAGCCATTAACTGTCCACTGCTGAAGGTAGGCCTTCCTCATAAGGGGAGTTTTGCCAATAATTGCCACGCTTGGCAACCGTAGTTAGGCTTTTAGAGATGTTGCAAGAGGGGCGTTGCTGCCCATCTCTCACCCTCCCTTAGTCGTCTCTTACGACACCCATGAAAAAGGGGCAGACCATTCTATGGGCCTACACGGCGATCATACACAATGTGAAGGCACAAATCTATAAAATGCTTGTCATGCGGGTTATTATAATGGATGATAATGGAATGGAAACCCATCCCACGCTAACGGTATATGCTGGCGGGGTACCAATGAGGGATGATAGGTGAGGATGGAAAGACAGGTCAGTTAGTCCATTGTGATGAATACACCTGGGATTTAGCACGATGGTTTCCAGGGGAGACTACTTGGAGGTCGACCTGACTATGTATATTGTTAACAATGGGACTGGTAGTCCGCACTACTAACTAACAATCCCTCCCCCACATTAGTGAGGGATGATAGATGAGGATGGAAAAACAGCTCAATTAGCCCATCGTGATGAATACACCTGAGATTCAACAAGATGGTTTCTAGAGAGATCACTTTGAGGTCGATCTGATAGGATATATTGCTAGCAATGTGACTGGTAGTCCCCATTACTAACAATCCCTTCCCCCCGCCCCAATATACTCTGTTATATCGACCTCCAAGTAGTACCCCCTAGAAACCATCGTGATGAATTCGAGGTATATTCATCACGGTGGGCTATCTGATCTGCCTTATCATTCTCACCTACCATCCCTTACTGGTGGCCCTACAGCGTTTATCATTAACGCAGGCGCCGCTACCAATCCATTATCATCCATAACAAAACATGATAATTATTTTACCTCCTCTGTATGAGCATATTTCATTCTATAAATAAATAGTTACATTGTCCATATACGAAGTACATGTATATAATGAGCAACATATGTATATTAATGCACAACCATTTATCTTATAAATTGTGACCACCACACCACAACCGCAAATTAATGTTATTATTTTCTATTTATTTACAACATTTGTTCAATAATAACTATTGTGATTTATGTATCTCGTAATTTTATAGATTTTATTTTAAATTGTTTTTTTTTTTGTATTTTCTTCCATATTCCTTGTTTGTGTTCTATTGTTCTTTTGAGAAGAATGGAAGGGAATAGTACATTACTGCAGCGGCCAGCAACTGAGACATTGATGGACGAACGTACAAATGTGGGCCGAGGCGTAGCCGAGGCACACATACGTGATTCCGTCGATGCCTAGTTGTGGCCAAGGTTTGTATAGTACTTTTCTCAAACAATGAGCGGAAATCAAAAACACAATTTTACTTTTTAAGTTCAATGACGAATAACGAACAATAACAATTTTTCACGCGCCATAATGTTCCTTTGTTTTTTTTTTTCAATAAACAGCTTTCTATTTGCAAGCCAGTTCGAAATTTAAATAAAACCTTTTATTAATTACCTCCTTGGTAGCCATGTTTCGAAGTAAAAGGTCATTCCATTTTTAAATTACAGGACAGATATGAGTTTACATAGTAATTTATCTGGCCGCAAAACACGACAGATATGGATTTTCATACAACTTTTGCCGGCCGCTGCCCGCATGTATCTGGCCAGCATAAGGGAAGGAAGATGACGATGATTCTTTTGTATACCACATTTATGAATAGAATATCTCATAAACAGTGAACTAATTCCTAAATTACGTGGCGTATAAGAAAAAAAATATATACAAATAGTAATTACTCGTACTTAGTTTAACACTTTTAGATATGGGTGCCGATTGCTCACGATCCTATCTAATGATCTCATTACATGACTGAAATGATGATTTTGCTATATAAAACTTCACCCTACTGATCGATTCACACACTGTATCGTATAAGACGTAAACACGGGATGCGAGACTACCCAATGTCTACAAGTTGCAATATATTCCCCTACAAGGATTTCCCGGCGCGTCACGGCTTCCAACAAGATTCACAAATGGTAATTGCAACGTGATCCAATCCCTTTGTAAATACCTACCTATAAGACGGGAATTTACTATAAAGATATCTATGTCTATTCTTTTTTATATTTATAATTTTTAAAAATTTTATTGTCAACAGTCTCAATTCTGAATGTGTTAATAGATAATCAGTTATGTTTTACGCTATTAAATTGCTTGTAATATTTTTTTTATATGTACATTTGTTAAAAAAAAAAGAAACAGCGCCAAAACACATTGTTAAACAACGTAATGTAGCATAGACACAATTTTTTTTTACTTCATGATAAACACATTGGATTGAAAATATTTAAATTTAGAACGCGCATTAATATACACACAATAAAAAAAAAGAAAACAGATAAAAACCTTTTTAATTTGAAATTTTTAAAAAATGTAATGAGGGATGTGTAAAGTATGTGTAAACATATTTTTAAATGATAGTACTTTCAAGTCAATCGACTGAATGCATATATAAACAAATTTAATCATAGCCTCCTATGCAAATGGTTATTGAGGTAGCATTTTTGGGCTCCATATATAGCTGCATAGTACGCTGTATGTACAATAATAAATTAAACGGCGCATATGTTTGGAATGATTTCCCGTGTTGCCGAAAGGAGAAATGATACTGAAATTTTAACACTCGTGGGAGTGTCCATTAATCAGAAAAAGCTCACGGGATGGAGATGAAACTTATATAAAAGTTATACTTTGAGATGATTATACAGAGACCACAAAATATTTAATTTTAGATGTTTCTGCCCTACCCATTATGTTGCTAGCAACATAGCCCAGCCAGGCTTTTTTTATATATTTGTATTTAATAGTCTTTTTGAGAGATATATATATATAATACTTTTTCTCTGTATATTTTAATAATATACGGTTTGACATGAGAACTTGACCGTTTTTCGTCTGATAAACATACATATATACACATCCTCAATCACATTACAATATGCAGGTGGCTCAGGGCCGTTCCTTATGACAATCTATGGGAGTGACCTACGTTCAGCAGTGGACAGGTAATGACTGAGATGATGATAATGATGATGATGATGATATTAGACAAATATACTTCATTAAAAGTCCTCACACTTAAGAGAGTTACAACTTCATAATTGAGACATTAATTAAATTTATATAAAAACGTTTCTTTAAAATTCCATATTTAATGGAGATCTTAATGCTATTAGGGTATAAACCCACCCTTTTGGAGAGTATCGCAATATTTTCGATATCTTTACAACGAGCGCACCCTAACCTATTTACATAGTCATTTCTACAGCTTGAATTTACATAATCGAATATTATTTATTGTGTAAACGTGTCCGAACGACCGCATCATCCCCCCGGTAAACATAACCCAAAAATATATTGTGATATCTCAATTAATGTGAGAACTGGGTGACCGAGATATTGGCGTGCGTGACAAATGTATGACGTCACTGGACTGTAGTGTAGCGCAATGTTTGATGCGCGTCGCGTGCACGCGTTTTCGTCGACATTGTCCTGGGATTGTGACGCTGTTCACGAGAACTAGCGTCCATTATAAACGAGGGTTTATTGAATGACTGCGCTGGGACGTCTCTAAATAGCTCGAGATATCATAACCTGGTACAAGTATTTGCAGTTGTATATTTTAAGCCTTTGGGTTAATACAAGAGAATTTACTATCATTCTGTATGAGTATATTCTAATATCTACTAAAACTGAATAATTCTCCATAGAAACATATGTCCAATATATGTTTTTATACAATTTAAAATGGCAAAGAATCTATCGGCCCACCTAATAGAAAGCAATAATTATCCGTTAGTCTCTTATTCCCTACAGCACAATGAACATAACATTTATGACACCCTGGTACATCTCATGCATTACCGTTCCTGAGGACTAAAGGTGCGTTCAAGTATTAATGCAATTTTTGAAAATTTTTAATCCTTTCCCATGTAACGTGCCTTAACATTTTTCTTAAATGGCGGACAGACATACCAGAGGGAGACTTTGTACAAAAGTCGATTGCTTGGGTACCTCTGTCCTATTCGTATTTCAACCGTGAAGCACTTGTGTCTGCATGGCTGTGTTTCGATTTGAAGAGATATGGCGTGAATTTACAGGGTACGGAGGAATAACATCTGAGTCCTCAGGAATGGCAACGCATGGGGGGTATCATGGGCAAAACAGTATATTCTGTTATGTCCATGGTACTGCTCATGTCTATAGGCGACGGTTACCACTTTCCATCAGATGGTCGTCAGCTTATTTGCCATTCTAAGTTGTATAAAAAAAAAGACAAAAAATATTTTATCTCGTAACGTTCATGTAATGTATTTTTAATTTTTTTTTTTGTTTGTTACCTCTGACTCTGTCAGATTTAAACCGATTTAGAAAACCTTTTTTAATCTGAAAGGATATACTTTTACAGATTGATCCACTAGAAATTTTATCAAAATCGGTTCAGTAGTTTTGAACACAATACAAGTCATTTTTTATGGAGTACAATCCTAAATACGTTATAAAATATTATTATACAAATAAATGAATGTACAGACACACCTCAAAGTTTTAAATAAGCGACCTTCGAGGTAATATAGACTGTCCTTCAGACTGAATAAACAAGCCGACAGCCCGCCTGATGGAAAGTGACAACCATCGCCCATAGACATGTACCTATATATCACATAAATATACCGTGACAATATATATAATATAGATTACAACAGGCTTCCAAGGAAGCGACTGCCCAAAACCGGGCCGCCTCCATTTAAGCCTGACCCTTTATTTGGCACGAGGCATTGTACCTTCGTTTGGATACTGAACGTGCTTCGGCGCGTCACTGGTTAGCAAAACGTAACGTAAACGATCACGTTTTAGGTTACACAAATACCCGTCCCGTGTTGTGTGTTAATTAACGAATACATTGGCGGCAGATTGCGGAAGTGTGCGCCCTTTAGTGTCCCGACTTTGACGTCCATACATTTTTCAAACTACTTTCTCTAACAACAAAATATATCTTCACACAAAAGTATTGTTACATCTTTTTTTAAAGCCAAACGAGTGAATCCTAGCTATTTCCATACTTTAAACGTGCTTACAACATTTTACGAGGATTCTGAGAATATTCTATCGTCACTCGACTGCATTAGACAACAATTTTGAACAATGTTTTTAATCCAATTTATAAATCAGAAAATCTTACGAGTATTCTAAAAATAATTTATTTTATTTATTTAAATAAGTTTATTGAACAAAAGAAAATATGGAACAAAAGGTGGATTTAATGCTAGTAGCATTCTCTACCAGTCAACCTTTGGGATGAACAGTGAATCACGAACACGGTACTTCATTATTGGAAATATTTATTCCATTCATTTCCAAACATTCCTTTGTTGCTTGACGGAAAATAATATTAGAAAAACAAAATATAAACGTGGCAATAGAAAACTCATACCCTGAATCTACCTCTTATGGAGAAATGTGTTCAATATCGCTATATTTATTTATTTATTATTTTATTAATCACTCATATTATATCATTCAAAAGGGAGCCTTATGATATGGACCTTATGGGTTGTCGTCATGACAAAATACGGTGATAATGTCTTTCGAAACTGCACTTTAATTTTTTTTTAATTAAGGGTACAATAGTGTTGGCGTCCCATCCTCACTACTTGATACAAGTGTAGGGAGTCTGGGAGTCTACCTTGAAATGAAATTCCGAATTCTCAGACTCAATTTCGTATTTTTGTTCATACTGAAATGGGCCCAGTAAATAGAGCTTAACATTTCGTTCGTCATAAATCCTACCATAATAGTCCAAAAGAACGATATTTTAACTTTTTAAACAGTATATATTATGTAATTTTAACATCAAAGTGTTTAGTTCGATCCCGAAATTTCGGAAACCATTTCATGGTAGACCCTCTGCCATCTGTTTTGATTCAGGTGTATTATAATGATAATAAAACTCACCTTCGATGTTCAGATTGATGGAGTACGACTGTGCCGAGCCGACCCCGTTGCTGACCTCGCAGGTGTAGGTGCCCTGGTCTTCGTACCGGGGCGACTTGATGACTAGCGTTTTGCCGTAGTTGTCTTGCGTTATGCTCTGCGATGACAGTATGGGGCTACCGTCTTTCTTCCACACTATTAGAGGAAGAGGCCTAAAAGGGGAAAACACTATTGTATTATACAAATATTACCTAATAGCTTAATTTAAGCGAGGCGAGATGTTTCCTCTTAAGTCGTAGCCGTATTTCATCAGTTACGTCGTGACCGGGAATAACTATTGCAATAGGATCGAAATTTAGGCACGTTCAGTACAAATGAATAATCGTGGTAGGAACTTGCCAATTATTGCGAGTAAAGATTCCAGTGTAAAGATAGTTGACGTGACAGACGTCCCAATTTAAATGTTTTTATTAAATTGAAAATTATATGGGACTAACACGGAAGTAAACCCTATGGAATACGAAATTAAAAAAAAAATACATCGCATTCTAAATACTTTGATAAATAAATTATACTAGAATTAAAAACCTATTTCATTTTTTTAGGGATTAAACTTTAGTCCTTTCGCCAACCAGTATGGCAACACAAGATGGGTATCATGGTTGTTACAGGGTATTTTATCACGTCCATTCACGACTGTAGGTCTACCCTACCGGGTCGAACTCCACGCGGTTCCCCCTGGAAACCACGGTGACTAATTTATCGTTCTATTGGTCACATTGGACTAACTGGCTTTTCATTCTCATGAATCACCCCTCACTGGTGCCTCGCCAGTATATACACGATAGCGCTGGCGGGGTTACCATTATGCATTAAAAAAAATAGGACTATTGGCGACGATCACTAATTTCTATAAGATGGGCCATCAGCTTGTCATTCCAAGTTATAAAAAAAGTTCAAAGAGTGCACCGTAGATATAGAACAGAAATAGAATTTGTTTATTTGTCTATAGATCTTATAGTCATTTTTTATACAACTTAGAATGGCAAACAAGCTGACGGCCCACCTGATGGAAAGTGATAACCGTCGCGGTATAGACATGAGCAGTACCATGGACATAAGAGTATACTGTTTCGCCCATGATACCCCCCATGCTATTCCTGATGATTCAGGTGTTATTCCTCTGTACACTGTAAATTCACTGCCATATCTCACTTGTAGGCACACTCTCGCCATATTATATACAATAATGGCTGTTATTGTGACAGTATAAGCCGTAGGTATTATTCTCACGAGAATTGAACTCACTAGTGTTGATACACATAATAAGATCAATGTCTATCTTGGGCTTCAAGAAAAAAAAATATAGGACGAAAATATGTATGACAGAAATTCAGTTACGTAGACATGTTTTTGTAAATAATACTATTTATAGTATCAACAAACAGATGGCCCGCCTGATGGGAACCATCGCCTATAATGAATCCATACCATAGACATCAAAACATAATATTATAACGCGCGGGGCATACCGTTTGAATCTTTTTATGGATGATAATGGAATGGTAACGCCGTCTGAGCTGTCGGTATACACTAGCAGGGCACCGGTGAGGGATGATAGGTGAACATGAAAAGGCAGGTCAGTCAGCTCATTGTGATGATTATACATGGAATTCAGTAAGATGGTTTCCGGGAGGGACCGCGTGGAGGTCGACCTGATAGAGTATATTGCTAGCAATAGGACTACCACCGCATTATTAACAAACCCCTCCCCCATTTGTAAACGGGTAGGTAGCTAACTTAGCGTCCATTGTTACAAACTTTTGCATTTATAATATTAATTGGGGTAACCATTCCATTATATCTTGCATTGAAACTACTAAACTACAAACTCCAATTTGCTAAAGTTTTGTCGAGTGACCACAGAGTATTTGTGTTCAGACGTTTTTTGTTTCAGTTAAATCTTTTTTAAATTATTTTTTGTTATTTTTGTGTAATATTCCTTTTTATATGTTATTGTACTCATGCATTCCTGGGTGAGCGTATTGGAAGACTGTAAGGCTCACCCAGTGGATATAATAAATAAATAAATAAATTTAAAAAAAAACGTGAATGAATTAAATTGAATAAAATTGGGTAGATAGCTAACTTAGCACATACGGGGGGAAAGGGATTATTAGTAATGGAGACTGAGAATCCCATTACTAGCAATATACCCAACCAGGTCGACCTCCTCGCGGTTCCCTCTGGAAACTATCATGATTAATTCTTGATGAATTGATCATGATGGGCTAACTGGCCTGTTTTCATTTTCATCAATCACCCTTCACTGGTGCCCCGCCAGCGTATCCCGTTAGCGCAGGCGGGGTTACCATTCCATTTTCATCCAATAAAAAAAAAAAAAAAAAACTTAGCACATACGACACCCACTTTACATACCAATTCAAATGGACGAAACCGTAGGATACTATATACTAGGTATGTAATTTATACATGAGACGCAAGCTTTATTAATTATATATACACCAAATTATGTCTATTATTATAATTGTTGTTATAATTAATATTAATTATAACAATAGACAATATAGTGATTCATTTGTATTTAACTGGATAATGGGAATTTACTGAACTGTTTGAGATGACTCATTAGTACAGTGACTGAAATACTAGTTTCAAATTTTGAATTAAAAATCTGGATTAATGAATAAGGTATAGTTAGTAACGCGGACTACCAGTCAGGTCGAACACCACGGGAAACCATCGTGCTGAATTCCAGGTGTCTTCATCACGATGGGGTAACTGACTTGCTTCCCCTAACATCCTCACTGATGCCCCGCCAGCTTATACCAAATAGCGCAGGCGGGGTTACCATTCCATCATTACCTATCAAACCCTCAATCTCCCCACCCCATCCCGTATAAAAAGAAATAAACAACACTTACGTGCCACCGTAAATGCAGTATAGTTCCACTCGTTTCCCCTTCAGGCCCCTCTCGTTCCTCCTGGTCGTGTACTGGCGTACTGGCTCGTGTTTGTTGAGTGCCGGCGATATGCCGGTGGGTTTCACCTCCAAATACACTTTATTGCCTAATTTGTACTCATTCCTGAAGATTGACTTAGCTGCACACGTGTAAGCGTAGTTGCCGCTAGCATCATTACGCGTCACGTTCGAGAACCAGAGATTCCCTTCTGGGTCCAGGGTCATGCGCGAGTTGTTGATCGTCTTCAGTTGTCCCTGGTCGCCTTGTAACATCCAGTACACTTTCGGGCTCGGGTGACCGTCCGGGGGCTCGCACGTCAACTTGAACGGCTTGCCCTCTTCAGCCGTGATGATTTGCTGGCCGTCTGTCTCCTTGAACGAGTTCAGTTCCGCTTTCCTCACAAACACACTGTTCGACGTGGCCGTTCCCCATTCGTTCTCGGCGAAGCACTGGTACTGGCCGAGGTCCTCGTCCCTGGGCTTACTGACCACGAGAGTACCGCGGCCTGGTTGCTGCGATATACGATTGTCGTAACTTGAGTACTCGAAAGGCTTGCCATTCTTGATCCACCGGTATCTGTTTGGACAAAACAGAAAATAGAATTAGAAACGCATTTTTTTTTTACTAATTATTATTATTACATACATGATATCTAGAGTGAAAGAAGAGAAGACTAGGGGGCAACTCAGATAGATTGAATTTCTTGACCTGGAAATCATTGTGAATAATTTCTGGTGAATCTATCATGTTGGATCAACTGATCTGACTTCATCCTCGTCTATCATCTCTCATTGGTACCCCATAAGCACATATCAATGGCGCAGGCGGGGTTACCAGTTCACTGTCATAAAAAACTCGGGGTTACTGTACTCTACAGCTGACCACTTAAGATATACCTAATGAAATTATAGTTTATCTAAGTAAGTTTTAGGTGTAGATGTCTATAGGAAACAAAACCGGAACGCGCATTTAAAACCGGCATAGGTAAGCGCTGATTCGACTTATAACTGTTTTAAGGATGCAGCAACTTAACTATACTTTAGTACACGTACATTAGGTGTCTTTCAATTTCTTCGGACGTTTGTTAATTAGTTACGATAAGATGGCTGAACAGGTGAGTATGAAATTTGGTACGTCGATGGAATGGATTAGCACATATAAAGCTTTTCATGTCGACGCATGCGAACAAAGCAGAGGTCTACAGCTAGTTGACTGATAAGAGAATTCAGGTTACAAAATTAATCATCAAGCTAAATTATAGTATTAACTAAACCTCTTTGAATGAATAAATCTAAGAAGCTGTCCACTATTTCCTGGTAGCAATCGAACTCATTAATTCGACATAAATAGACACGAGGACCTGCTGTTAATGAAATCACCAGTTGTGATTCATGCGTACCGCGCTGATAGGTCATATTTATTTCAATCTACTACTAGTAAATAATGTAAGTCTTTCAGCTAATTGATGGAATTATAAGTAACCGTATACCGCTGCTTCGCTTGTGATCACGTGACGTCGAATAGTCTAACAACATTCTTCGAGAGATAAGCTATCAATGCAAAATGAAATTTTTAAATATGACTGGTTAAGCGCCGAAATTGCCGTGTAGTCCAGCCTAGAATAGATCACCCATTCTTTCGAATGACCAAGGGAATATAAAGGACGAGGGATGAGCAGCAGCGTCTCTTAAAACATCACTACTACTACGTGACAACTACTAGCAAAACCCCTTTATGGGGGAGCCCCATGTTCAGCAGTGGACAATTAAATGCTAATATGCTATAGCTAGGTATTACAGGGTGTTCATACAAACAAACTACCGTTTTATTATAGCAGTATATATTTTACTCCGCAAAAAAACAATGACTTCAAACGTGATAAAATACATCCATGAACAACGATATATTTATAAGAAAAATAACTATGAAAATATTCAGATTTAGATCTCGGAATCGTGTATGCAAGTAAATATTCATCGCAACAAGCAATTGTTTGCTCTACAAAGAAAAATCGTTGCAGCCGCAAAGAAAATCGCCAGAAAATTTATATACTCGTAGATGCAACACGGGAGTAAAACTTATCGAGGTGTATCAATTTTCACACCAGTCTAGTTACCGTGCAGGCAATCAAGTATCAAAAGCCTATATCTCAGTCATGCGAGTACATCTTTTAGTTCAAGCACGTTCGTAATTTAGGGAGATTTAAATTGACTTCTGATGTATATTACAATTTAGGCTCAGAAATATATATTAAAGAATAAAAGGTGGATGGACTGTGTGAAAGATGATATGCATAAAAGAGAAGTGAGCTCGGAAATGATAGTTGACAGAAGAATACACAATCCCCACATAACGGACCCCAAATAAATGGGAAAGGACAAAGCAATTACGATGATGGTATCCCCAAATGCATGAGAGAAAAACATAGCTAGCTTTTGAGTCACTTTAGTAGATAACACTATGCAGTCATCAAAGCTGATTCATATAAATATGAATAATTCATTCTAATCGGCAACATTGAAACAACAATATGACAAATGAATCTGCATTTCAAAAAGGAGGAGCTATTCGAATTGCCTGTACTCGTATTTTTTTGTGTATTACGTAACGTTTTCGCCAATTCTTAACCGATTTTGATGATTATTTTCATGTATTTCTTTATTGTATTTGCGAAAAATATATTCAGGGAAATATATAGAACTTATTAGAAAGGCTAGGTTAATATCTGTCAGAGATGTCTTCTAGCCAACTTAACGTAGGAAAATAGCGAAATGGTTAGAGGAATATCTAGAGAGCCTTGTTTTACATATCAATAAGGTTCGCTTCTGCGTTAGGCCCGTATTGAAATCTCTATATTTACAAAACGAAATTCTTAGAAAATTCACGTCTCTTTAATATACTAAAAAATATGAATATATAAAAATTGAAAAGAAATAATACATTATTAAAATTCCATTTTCGAAAGGCGTATATCTGAAATTGATGTAACATTTGGATCTCTATACCATATATATCATTATAAAAAAAAAAAACAATGTTACTGACTAATACTATTCACAGTTCAAATCTAACATAATTATAGACTACACTATTATTGCGGTAAATGATTGCTATATGGGTTTGGTAATCATATAGAAAAAAAAAAAAAAAAAGCAATGTTGCCAGCCTATCGCACTTAATATAACCGCACTGAGACCAGCCAACTATCTATGTTTATGGTAAATTATTGCCTTAAGGGCAGGTATAATATATTTATCACCATAATTGCAACAACGTGATTTTCAACTCCGTCTAAGATGTCGTAAATATACAATTATAAATTTTTGTATGGGCCCGTTAAATCACACATGAATTTGGTGTTGAATTCATTATTAGGAGCTAAGCTAAACTTGACGGCCTTACGACGTCACCGAGCGAGTACTTGACAGCTACCTCATATCTAGTGACCCTGGGAACTATAAAGCTTTCATATCGTATTTTTTATCTTGTTTATTTTTAGAGATGTTAGTCTTTCAAACATGATATTTCCATTGCTTGTATTTATGCAACACTACAAATGTATTTTATCCTACAGAAAAACAGCGACGCTGTTTGCAACAATAATATTTATGTGTGCTTTCCACACATACCTACTTATAAATGGTGTTTCGACACATTACACTCTTATTTTTTTTAACTTAGAACACGGATTCATATGTCTACAAATAGATTTCGCTTCGCAGACAAACAGTGACACTGTAACAAAAATATGTATATGTGCTTTCCACATGTACCTACTTATGAATGGTATTTCGTAGATACATTAGACTGCTATTTTTAACTTAGAACGCTAATTTGTATGCTTACAAATAGTTTTTTTTTTCTTCACAAACAGGACCAAGAAGAAAGTAAACGTTATAGATTGTAAAAATAAATAATTATCAAAATCTGATCAGAATTAGGTATTCGCAGAACCTTCTTCTTCTAGACGTACCTTATTGTCATAAACCATTTTTCTTTAATTAACATTACACATTATTTGAAAACGAAAAAAAAAAACAGTTATTATTAACTTATTTATCAGCATAACAAAAGCTTACAGAATCTTAACTTGTATGCGTCGCTTATGTGAGAGAGATGATATCATGTCTTTGACCTTTGAGCGAGTTCGACCTAGAATCGCGATATTTTTTAAGATGACGATATGTATATATTTATATGATTCTGTATTTATTTAGTCCAATGTGTTTGGAAAAAAAAACACATTGATAAAATGTGGTGTTACATATTTAAAAATATATCTAGTTTAATATGTTATGATTATATTTGAAAACAATAGTAAATGTTTATTTGGGCGTAATTTCTACCGACTATCATGCCTTTATTTATATAAATATAAAACCTATTTTAACTATTACACTGTTTTGTCACTCTCATTCAAACTGAGAATTTATTACAAAAGAAAGAGACAAAATAGTTCAGTAACTAAAATATGTTTTTAAGAAGTTTGATGTTTTTAGAAGGAAGTAATATCCTTATTGTTTTCACTTGATATATCAGAAACAAGCAGTCATTATCACCATTGCAATATTGAATAGAATTTAAATAAACAGATGTCGAATTATCGAATTGTTTCTTATCTGCTAATTGATAGGATGAATCATCTATTGAATCTAGAAAACCATACCAATGTCAAATACCTCAAGAAATTGTTATACTATATTATTGTTTTTGTTAATTAGCATGCTGTGTTTCCTATAAAATGATTGTACACTAAATATAAATAGACAGTAATTTTAATATTAAATCTTATCAGTGTAACAATTGCTAGGAGACCAAATAAAGATAAAATAAAATAAAAAAAAATCAAATAACTTTTGGAATATGAATTAAATTATTTATTAAAGATACAAATATTAAATTTGGTATTCATTCGAATGTTACTTCGAATAGCCAATTCTTATAATAAAATTAAAGCTCACGAATACATACAAGAATGAGTCATTTCGTCAGATTTAGCATAATACGTGTACCTAAACTCTATTAGGTGGGGGGAGAAGGGATTGTTAATAATGGGGATTAGTGGCCCCATTGCTATCAATACGCCTTGTCAGGTCGACCTTTCCGCGGTTCTCCCTGGAAACGATCGTGTTCTATTCCAAGTGAACTCAACAAAGCTAACAGACCTGCCTTTTCATCCTCACTTATCATCCTTCACTAGTGAACCCGTCAACGTATACCGATAGCGCAAGCGGGTCTACCATCCCATTTTCATCCATTAAATAAAAACAAAACCTTCATTAGGCAATAAAGTATTTATAATTTACAATTTCGCTACGGAACCGTCGAAAGTAATATTATTGGAATCTCGACTACAAATATACAAGAAGGCTGCGAATTTATTACTGCAATGGAGAAAACCTCGCCTAGGCAGGTCAATACATCGTTGGGCATTGAAACCTGAGTTTCCCTTTCTCCGACGTATGTCTAAGACAACACACCTATTTGAAACTAAATATGTCTACAGCAAAAGGTATATTTTAAGTCATGTTTCATTATTTTTTTATATATTACTTTTTAGGTCGATAACATATAAGGGTTTGCGAATCTCCAAAATGTATGTCGATACTCGTGTAAGCCTTTTAACAATGTTCTGAGTTATAAAATCTTATCTCAAACAAAAATAATATTGGGTCTTTTCGGTTCTTTTTTTATTTAACATCCTTTATATCAGACCTGGGTAAATGGCGACCCGCGGGCCGAATCCGGCCCGCGGTAGAATTTTGTCTGGCCCCTGAAGCATTGTATATATTATTATTAGTTAACACAAATATTAGTTTTTGTCTAACATAAATTGGTGCATAAAAAATTTTAGATAAAATATTAAGCAATACTTATACACATTATCAGGGCCGGTGGGAGTCAAAATTTTTACGCCAGGACAACCGATCTTTTCGGAGCTTAATAAATATTTTGATTTAAAAATGTTGGTTTTAAAATTCATTAATTGATATCCTCAGCAAAAATAAACTTAAAATTAGAAAAAAAAAAAACTGGCCCGAGATCAAATTTTCATCTGCAATGTGGCCCGACTATCAAAACATTTGCCCACCCCTGCTTTATATAATATTATGTCAGCAATTCCAAACACTACGAAAATGGAAAATGGTAGACAGTTGTAGTGATTTCTACACTTCCAACTCATATTCCATTACACGTTTCATCTACAGTCTCGATAGTAATATACTACTTATTCTTTAGTGGGTGACACGACAAGAATATAATACCACCACTGCGTTTTATCCCCGGAGTGTCTCGTAAGAGGCGACTAGGGGCATGTAGCACAATATATCAATACAAGAGATAAAATGACGATGTAGTAACAACAATCGAAAAAGGAATGTTGCGTTGGTTTGGCCATTTGATAAGGATGGATGAAAGAAGAATTACGAAAGAGATTTATCAAGCAAGAATGAATGGAGATGTCGGTAGGAGCCGCTGTAGACGGACGTATGTCGACCATATAGACGACGTGCTGAAGAAGGGCCAAATTAAAAGTACCCGTAACCGGCGAGCGTGTATGAAAGGATTGATGAATGTGGAAAAAGCGAAAGAGGATTTGTTTGAATCGAAGCATTTGGCATTCCATTGTTTCTGGCTACCCTAATGGAAGACAGGTGTGACAGATATGTATATATGTATATGTATGTAAGAGATAAAATTAAATTCATGAAGTGACATCACTTCACCCAGTGCAGTAGACCTTGGCTGGCGTCAGTTTATGACTGGCTACGCAATGATCTAATATATTTTGCATTATTTTAATTACCCACAACTATCGTCATAAGTTCATATAGTTAAGCAGTCTGGGATCAGACATTTTTTCTGGCTTCGCCACAGTCGGGTAAGCACAATGCCCGTCCACTGCCTACTCGTGGTTATGCGATCGATCTTATAGACGCGACGACCGTCCGTCGCAGGCGTCCGCGACCCATATTACGACTAATTATGTCTTGAATTATGTCATCCAGCTATATCGATATTGGCTTAAATTATTGGTATGCACAATGGTGCGACTCCATAAAGGAAGTTCTCGATTCGTCTGTAATATTCAACCGAATTTGAAAAAGAAGGAAGTGATTTTGATCTAACAATTTTAAACTACAAAACCAATCCTGTAAGTATATCCTTGGAGATAAAAAAAAGAGTTTTCTAAATCTGTTTATAAACGAACGAGTTATTAAGTAATAAACAAAAAATACAAACTAATTGGGAACCTCCTTTTTACGAAGTTTTGTTTACGAAGTGTGGTTTATTTTAAAATATGACGTTTTATCCAGATATAAACTTTTTATTGCATTTTATTACAGTCATCAATTTACTAGCTTTTACCCGCGACTTCGTCCGCGTGACCGGGATATAATGTTTACTAACAGGGATAAAAAGCAGTGTAAATCTTCTCCATCCCATGTAATACGTTTACACTGAATTACATAATGATTGATTGAGCCGTAAAAGCGCTACATAGTAGCAAATTAACAAAATCACTTTGCATTTATAATATTAGTGTTGGGGAGTATGATGGATTTCCCAGTTTTATGGTGAATAATAAATCAATAATTGTCTTTTAATAATAAATTGCTTCCGTACATTTGATAGAAAATTATAGAATAAAAAAAAACAAAAGAAGGTTAGTGAGATAAAATACAAATATATGGCTATTAAAATAAACCAAAAAGGTTACAATCGTCAACAATTAGTAAAGATTATTTAGTGGTGACCGACCGATGCAAACTCTTTAGACATTATTATACTTTTTTATATACATTTACTTTTAGAATGTTCTTATTATTTGTAGTTTCAATTTTATATTTTTTGACATATATCATATTGCTCTGTTCCTTGCTTGCTGTTTAATTACATTTGTTTCGCTACTAAATTCAGTGTCTACATCATTTCATCACCTCATCACAGTCCACCGCTCCGTAATAATTATATTTATCAATTGACACAAACACTCAAAAAGGTATCAATTCACCAAAGATATTTAATTTAGCTAGTAAAAATCTATCAAGAAATAGGTATCACAAGAAACTTCAACAAAAAAGCAGATAAAAACTAGATTCGTATAAGCCTATAAACGGCGACTGACGATCCTATTTTATGAAAAATAAGTATGATACGAATAAATGGTCCGAATGGTAACTAAAAACTTAAAATAGCCACACGTGAAACATTTTCACAGAATAAGTATTATTAGGAAGAGAACGTGCTTAGGCCGTAGTTCTACCCTTTTGTTGCAGTTTACTATTGTATTTTATGTATTTAAATTGTATTTAAACACATTAGTGTATTAGAATCTTTTCATACTGTCTAAGATATGGTTTAGCAGCCCCATGTGAACGGTAAGCGGATTAGACTCCATTTACAAACACTTGCCGGTAGACGCCGCGGGCGTAGTGTCGAATGCTTTATCTAGTTGATCAATAAATAGTTACCCGATTAAAATATAAATAGTATTTAAATTTAGAACGTGGGAACACTTATAATCTAAACTTCACAACAAGCAGTGTTTACACCACAAATAGAAGAGGGCGACTACTGTCGTCACAAAATTAAAATAGGACTAATACCGGAATAAACCCTATTCACTGCAAAAAGAACTATCACAATCGATTTTGATTTGACAACGAAATCAAGTAATATGGTCGCAAAAAAAAAAAATATAAGAAAAATTAAGAATCTTCGTCATTTAAAAGTCACTCAAAAATATACAGGAAACATAGTTATGTAAGAAGAAACAAAACAAGAAAAAGTTTATAAGCTCTTAAATTATTACAGTACTATATTATTCTCGCGCTGAGTTTGAACTGGTGTCATTTGCTAAAAACAACCTGCAAACTATTTGGATGTCACTTAAAACATTCTATAACTGCGAAAGTATCTTTGCTTGTTACACATATTTATATATAACTTATAAAAGAATAAAATTAATTAAGAAAAGTATGTAACGTTTACTACTTCGCCTCCTCTCTCTGCCTACCACATCACCCTAACTTAAACATGAAATATAATGCTACGAGTATGAAATTGATACAAAATAACTCACTTAGGCGCCGGCTCCCCTTCAGCTTCGCACTCGATAATGAAAGGCTTGTCCACCTCTCCTGGCAGCGCCACTTGGAAGAGTAGTTCCTCTTGTGTGGGCTGCTTCACTATCTTGGGGGGCGACGTCACTGTTGACAGGTTTCTTACGATTATTATCTTAATACAATGATCATAGAGGATTTTAAATATTGTTGGATGAATGTATATGTGACAATTAGCAGAATTAATATTTACATTATTAGCTCCTTTTAATTGAACTTAATAAGAAAAAATAAAGAAGTTTTGTTATAATTATGATAGAAACACGCTCTAAATGAAATTATGTAGTAATAATTCGAAACATTATATCAATTAATTGATATTTTATCTGTACTACTATTGTCTCTCTTTTGGTTAATTCAGTTATTTGCTTGTTTTCATTTTCATTAAATTCTATTACATATACTTTTTTTTAAATAAGCAATGTGTGTATTAAAAAAAAAAATTATAGTTAATTATGTGTATTAACATATAAAAAAATCACTTAGTGTTTAATTTTACACTTATTATTACTTATACAATGGTACATTTTTAAATATACATACAAAAATATTACACAATAATTTTGGTTTAATAATAACAATCTACAATCAATCTATCATCAGCGGATACAAAGTTTTTAAAGCATAGGTAAAATTGGATATCTCCTAATATTATCTACTTTCTTAGCAATTGCTAACAAGGAGAATTACTTTTGACAAATACTAATAGAAATAAATCTTTATTAGATGATATGTCTAACTTGAAGTAATTTTTCAGAGATACCAGAGTAAATCATTCACTATTAAGCTTCTACTTCCTAGTAGTAAATTAATTTAATATTTTGTACCATAAAGGTGGTTAATAAACATAATAGCTCAACTGATAATAAATGGTTACAAGAACATATGAACATAGTAATACCAAAAGTAGTCAATCCCGAAGAAACCTTAGTATGGCCTTACAAAACTTATTTCAACATCATTGATTTATATTAATCTAAAAATTTCATATAATATACATGTCCAAACAATCCAAATAGGTCATAGGTAAAGATCTTGTATGAATGCATCATGATATCAAAATATCAATGAGTGGGACAAGGCCGAAATAATATTGTCAATTAGTAATCTAGTTTCAAATCTAACAGTCTTATTGAATTCACGATCCTGTAATTGTGTCTAATGACTGGCGAGTTTAGATTTTACTGGACATTGTAGTAGGATAATTTATTAAGGATTTATTACATATTATTACTATAACAACTAATTTATGTTCTACTGTTCAATTAATTTTCGAGAAAATTTAATATAATTTTTGTGTCACTAATAAGTCTTTTAATGATCATCATCATCAATAAATCATTTTTTTTTATATTTGTATTATTTTTTAATTGACCTTATTGTTTATTTCTTTAATTTTTAGTTTATAAAATATTGTAACTTATTTCAAACACAATTGTATGATTGTTATGAAATAAATAAATGAAATGAAATGTATTTTTTAAAAACTAACTGTGGTGATTAATCTACTTGCCAAGCGTGGCAACTACTGGCAATAGTAGACAGTTAAAGATTGATATCATGATATGTCTTTTACAGCATCTGGAGGAGATGATTCCTACTTCATCATATAAGTTGAATATCAAATGACTGGCATAGTCAATATCAGTAGATTCAGAATCATTCTCTATCACTAACAGTAAAGTTTAGAAACGATATTATACTGGAATCATTATTCTAAGGACCAATATGACCTAACTTCATAATACATTTGAATCAGAAATATTTTTATTTCTTAGTGATCTTTAACAGAATAACTCTGTTAATTTATAAAAATTAAATAAACAGATAAATTTATAAATGTCATTTCAGAATCAACCCCACTGGTGATATCTATAGAAAATATTACAAATTTAATAGTAAGCTAACAAAATCGCTTTTCATTTTTAACCAGAAATGACTCATGGAAATATTTGGATTCTATATTATAATATCATAACAACAGAAAACATACTGTTGTTGTGGTAAATGTTATGTTCGATTAACATTTTTATTTGTAAGCAATTTTTTATAAACTTTCAGGGATACCTACTGAAGAGGCAATACAATAAACCAGTGAAAACTGGAAATAAAATTATCACTACTGGGAATGAAAGCAGGTTTGATAGGACTTGGTATAAAGAATATGATGCCATTCAGGCAGCATGGTAAATGGTCAATGACAAACCCACACATTACAGTGGGATGTTAAAAGATTATTTAATCTAATTATATTAAATGGACCTAAAGTTATTGAAGTCTAGCAATCCAATAAGATAAAAAGTAGATTATTATAACATAATAATTAACACTAAGAATAATACAAATATATATAAATAGATTATTACGCAAACTACATAGTATTAAAATACTATTAAAAGTAGTACAACCAATCTTATTAGAATTTTTATTAATTATTGAATATGATATAATCATACTTTTAAACTAAAATTTTATTAAAAGTACAACAATAATATAATAAAAAATATTTCATTTTTAATATTGACAACTTTATGAATTCAGAATTATCCCAACAATCGACACAAACAGTATTGTTGTGACAAACAGGTATATGAAACTAATATAAACAATATAAAATTTTTATAAACAGCCATCATAAACATGATATATTAAATAAGACATAGTTAAAATCTATTAAAAAGTGTTTATTAATATCTTAAAGCCTATTTAAATTATTAGAAAGTAAATAATACTCACATAGAGCGGCCGCTTGAGATATAACCGCGAGAACACTTAAAAGTTTGATGGTACCCATGATGCTGACAGTCTCCTGTCTGGTATATCTATCGAGAAACGAAACAAGCGAACTTAATTAACTAAACTATACGAAAAACATTTCTCCGGCACACATGTTCACGGCACTTGATGACCTAATCCGAATAAAGCTTGCCACAATGACAACACCCACTAAAAATAGTATCTTAGAAATCACTAAATTGCTGTCTTGTTATAACACAAAAACTTGCATAGTGGTTGAACAAATTATAATATAACCCTAAACCATTTAAAATTATTTAAATTCATATGAAAATAACGCTACTATACCGCACACACTCACTATTTGTTAATGTAGACGGTAAATCAATAATTGCATTTGATTAACTGTAACACTACCATTATAACATAATTAATAGCAGGAATTTTTAAAACATCACTGAATATTACCTAAATTCCTATTTATAATTATAACATCGCGACAAAACCAACTAAAATAATAAAATTCACGGGTTTAAAGGCGGGGCCTCTGAGTTTCGCTGTCGTTCGTTCGTTCAGCAATTGACGGTTCAATGACTGGCGTGGCATAGACTAGAATTCGGTTCGATTCTATGACCTAATCTGTCCATGACATAATTTTATTTCTTTCTAACATCAATTAAAGTATATTTTTCTCTCACTCATATTTTATCATAGACAAATATTACTAAAAAAAATAAAGCCGGTATCCATAGTTAAGAAATTTCATGAAAGGAATACATTTGTTAAGTATTTAACGCCGAAACCGACTAGAATATTGAGGGTATCTAATACTTTTTTGGTCTGTATAAACACTATAACTTAGATTTGATAGAAAGTGAGTGGCTTGAATCATGTTCGTATTCATAGATAGAGAATACAAATGATTAACCTTTATCTATGTTAGAAAGACAAATAACTCCAACAGAGCTGTAAAAACTTTTAAAAACATATAGTCCTTTCTACATACGAAATCTTTGCATATGTTTTTTAAATGTACACGTTCATTACTTAAGTTAATTACACTTGTATCACAATATAAAAACTACTACTATAACTTACACTGTGCGTCTATTTTGTTCCATTTTAAAATAACGAATTACTTAGTGTCCCGTCGATTTTTATCTTTTTTTTTTTTTTACTTTCATTTTTCTTTTTTTTTGTTATAATGTGGCAAAGGGCAGTTATTGACCATTATGCCACAAACACTAACAGAAAACGAGACGGGATATCAAAAAAGAACAATAAGGAATTTGGTATTAGCGATTAGTTATAGTTTAATGTTTGATGAAGGAATCTAAACAGTTATAGATCAAATAGTCAAAAGGAGCTAACAAGCACAGAATGGATGTAGGAAAAGGAATTTTTAATGAAATGAGAGATTTAATGAATAAGAAATGATCATATAAGGAGTAGAAAAAGAAAATATGATCTAGATCGGCCACATCTTTACCACAATCTCAAATATTATGAAGTTCTGCTAAATGAACGGGAGGACATACATGACCAATACACATACGAGATAATGTAGAGGAGACTGTTTTATTATTTTTTTTTACTAGATTTATCATATTTCCTTGTGTGTGCTATGTATGTATTTATATATATATATATATATATATATATATATATATATATATATATATATATATATATATATATATATATATACAGGTTTTTGTATTATATGCATGAAAAATTATAAATTTACTCTTGCGCCACCTACCCACTTCTATTTGTTCTCCTTTAACCAAAGGTTGTCTGTAAGAGATTGCCCTAGCGATAAGATTATTATTTATGGTGCAATAAAGAGTTAAATAATAAAAATAATCTCTATTAGGTCGACCTCCACGTAATTCCCCCTGGAAACCATCGTGAACAATTCATGTTGAATTTGTCACGATGGGCTAACTGACCTGCTTCAACCTCATCTATCATCCTTCACTAGTGCCCCGCCGGTGTATACCGATAACGCGGGCGGGGGTTACCATTCCATTATCATCCATTAAAGAATAGTCAGGACATCAAATAAAGACGAGATACCCACCTATTAAAAAATATATAAACAAAAATATTACATTACGCGTTTCATAAATGCCAAATTGTTTATGTGACAGATCTGTAATAAAAAATTTTATTATTACAGACTCGAAAAAAAGTATTTCATATAGAATATTGGAATATTCTTATATAGATTAAAAATTACTATCTACTAATTTAAATACAATGCTACGAGTAGATATCGGTACTAAATTTAACAAAAAAATAAATAAATAAAAAAATGCTGTGAATATTTATTAGGTAAAATTTCGTTTGACGTTACTAAAATATCAACTGGGCGATTAAGAGTCGTCAAGTAAACTTTGTCGGGAAATATTATAGGAATGAGGACATAAAATTTTTAAAAATGTTCAAGTGGGGCATGGCACAAAAAAGGTTGGAAAACACTGGTATAGAGTGATTTGTATTCTGATATTACTATTGTACCCGTCTAAATAGCATTCCAAATTCCAAATCATTTGTAATTTTTTTTTTAATATTAAAATAGTTATAGATCTATCTGTATTTCTGTATACCTATCTGTAGTATAAAATAGAATGCATACGCTGACTTTTCTGTAGTCCTAAAAAGACACCAAGCAGTAGCAATAGGAATTAATATTCCTGATACTCAGTTTTTGCATGATAGAATCTGAAATGAGGATATCCACAGAACGAAAATGACCGATATAGCCTGAAAGATTTATTTATTTATTTATTCAATAAAAATAATAACAACATTATAACAGCAAAAGCCAAATCAATGTTATAAATCTAGTGTGCTAACATACAAAGTTCTAATAAATGTATTTAAGCCGACTCTAGATATTTCTGATAAGTAAGTTAAAGTGGTAATGACCTGATACCTCAAATACCTTGAAGGACCTCGGTTATACCGATGGGAAAGAAAAGTTCTTGAATGGTGACCCTGTATAACTAAACGCAGTGCAAGACGATTCCCACTAGATAGAGCAACGACCTCAAATGGATTGTCAGTGGACGCAAATGGCCCGGAACGGTTCCTTATTGCAGTCCATGGTGGAGGCCTTTGTTCAGTACTAGACGGTTAACAGTAATTAGTGACAGTGTCGTAACCCAATGGTGTCCTACCACGAATTCCCCTATCCCCTAATATAATAATATTCCGATCAAACTGTCTATGATAACCCCTCCAAACGTTGCCTCCAAGAGATCGCTTTTAGCGATAAGGCCCTGCATTGTTCTCTCACTGTGGTTATTTCTTGTAATTATTCGTATCTATAATAAGTTATAAGAAGGGAAAAAATGTTGGGGCACTTGACACGATACGACGAACTTATGAACATTATAATAGAAGGTAAGATAAAAGGAAGGAGTTGGTGTCGTGTCGTATCAAGAGGTGAAGAGACTCGCTGAATATCGTAGTGAGTGGTAAGAGCTCCATCGACAAGAGCGCAGCTCTTAAATAGGATAGATAGATAGATAATAAGTACCTAGTGTAATCTTTTGGAGGTATCTATTTATTCTATGGACCACAGAAATCTTCGAATGTAACCAACACCAAAACATTTTTTTGTGCCTTAATTCAAAATTCTTACAGACCACCTATGATGTACACTGATAACAAGCCTAAATAATCCCAATAACATCAGTGGCTCAACTTTCACGTTGCATTCAAATATATTATACTCAGCGAAATGTGAACGTATCAAGTGTTATGTTGACCGCAATATCTAATACGGATTATGGATAATTAAGGATTAATGGTCGTAAGCACGTTTTTTATTTTATGTTGTCTCTTTTAATGTCATTTAATTATCACTAGCGTTTACCTGCGGCTTCTTTCGCGTGACCAGATTATGTTTACAGATCGGGATAAAAAGTAGTCGATATTTTTCTCCATCTCATATAATAGGTAAGTATATTAAGGGCGGGGGGGGGGGGGAATGATACAGCAATGTATATATTAGTTACAATATCTATATATTGGTCCAATAACGAATATGTTAAAAACCTGATAATAAAAAAAAATACATTTTTTTGATTATCAGGGATCCCAGGAGAGAAACCGGCGTACAATGCGGGCAGAAATTAAGAGCACCGCTTTCTGCATCTTTCCCGGAAGTGAGCCGCTTCGGAATCCCAACCGTCTGAGATGTTGTTCCAGACTAGTATATATATATACGAGATAAGATCGTTTACTGATAAACGATTGAAATGATTTAGGTGGACGTCACCCCCCACAGAATGTGCTTTCGGTAATTCTTCGTCTTAACCACCTGATCCTGTATGGCGCACACAAAACCCTCGGTCTCTCCGAAAAGATCACCGAATTGTAGCCAGTGCACGGATGTCTTCGCGTTGACGTACGGCCCGTGAAGGGCTTTGAAGAACCTTCCGTGCAACTCTTTCTCTTTCTATACGGCCTCCCGCTGAGAGGTACCCAGGACTTCAAGTTTTTGCCAGTCCTCTTTAGCCAGAGAAAGAGGGGTAAATCCTTTGTCATATTCTATGATTATTTTTATTATTTAACTCTTTATTGCACCATAAATAATAATCTTATCGCTAGGGCAATCTCTTACAGACAACCTTTGGTTAAAGGAGAACAAATAGAAGTGGGTAGGTGGCGCAAGAGTAAATTTATAATTTTTCATGCATATAATACAAAAACCGTATATATATATATATATATATATATATATATATATATATATATATATATATATATATATATATATATATATATATATATATATATATATATATATATATATATATATATACAGGTTTTTGTATTATATGCATGAAAAATTATAAATTTACTCTTGCGCCACCTACCCACTTCTATTTGTTCTCCTTTAACCAAAGGTTGTCTGTAAGAGATTGCCCTAGCGATAAGATTATTATTTATGGTGCAATAAAGAGTTAAATAATAAAAATAATCATAGAATATGACAAAGGATTTACCCCTCTTTCTCTGGCTAAAGAGGACTGGCAAAAACTTGAAGTCCTGGGTACCTCTCAGCGGGAGGCCGTATAGAAAGAGAAAGAGTTGCACGGAAGGTTCTTCAAAGCCCTTCACGGGCCGTACGTCAACGCGAAGACATCCGTGCACTGGCTACAATTCGGTGATCTTTTCGGAGAGACCGAGGGTTTTGTGTGCGCCATACAGGATCAGGTGGTTAAGACGAAGAATTACCGAAAGCACATTCTGTGGGGGGTGACGTCCACCTAAATCATTTCAATCGTTTATCAGTAAACGATCTTATCTCGTATATATATATACTAGTCTGGAACAACATCTCAGACGGTTGGGATTCCGAAGCGGCTCACTTCCGGGAAAGATGCAGAAAGCGGTGCTCTTAATTTCTGCCCGCATTGTACGCCGGTTTCTCTCCCTGGGATCCCTGATAATCAAAAAAATGTATTTTTTTTTATTATCAGGTTTTTAACATATTCGTTATTGGACCAATATATAGATATTGTAACTAATATATACATTGCTGTATCATTCCCCCCCCCCCCCGCCCTTAATATACTTACCTATTATATGAGATGGAGAAAAATATCGACTACTTTTTATCCCGATCTGTAAACATAATCTGGTCACGCGAAAGAAGCCGCAGGTAAACGCTAGTGATAATTAAATGACATTAAAAGAGACAACATAAAATAAAAAACGTGCTTACGACCATTAATCCTTAATTATCCATAATCCGTATTAGATATTGCGGTCAACATAACACTTGATACGTTCACATTTCGCTGAGTATAATATATTTGAATGCAACGTGAAAGTTGAGCCACTGATGTTATTGGGATTATTTAGGCTTGTTATCAGTGTACATCATAGGTGGTCTGTAAGAATTTTGAATTAAGGCACAAAAAAATGTTTTGGTGTTGGTTACATTCGAAGATTTCTGTGGTCCATAGAATAAATAGATACCTCCAAAAGATTACACTAGGTACTTATTATCTATCTATCTATCCTATTTAAGAGCTGCGCTCTTGTCGATGGAGCTCTTACCACTCACTACGATATTCAGCGAGTCTCTTCACCTCTTGATACGACACGACACCAACTCCTTCCTTTTATCTTACCTTCTATTATAATGTTCATAAGTTCGTCGTATCGTGTCAAGTGCCCCAACATTTTTTCCCTTCTTATAACTTATTATAGATACGAATAATTACAAGAAATAACCACAGTGAGAGAACAATGCAGGGCCTTATCGCTAAAAGCGATCTCTTGGAGGCAACGTTTGGAGGGGTTATCATAGACAGTTTGATCGGAATATTATTATATTAGGGGATAGGGGAATTCGTGGTAGGACACCATTGGGTTACGACACTGTCACTAATTACTGTTAACCGTCTAGTACTGAACAAAGGCCTCCACCATGGACTGCAATAAGGAACCGTTCCGGGCCATTTGCGTCCACTGACAATCCATTTGAGGTCGTTGCTCTATCTAGTGGGAATCGTCTTGCACTGCGTTTAGTTATACAGGGTCACCATTCAAGAACTTTTCTTTCCCATCGGTATAACCGAGGTCCTTCAAGGTATTTGAGGTATCAGGTCATTACCACTTTAACTTACTTATCAGAAATATCTAGAGTCGGCTTAAATACATTTATTAGAACTTTGTATGTTAGCACACTAGATTTATAACATTGATTTGGCTTTTGCTGTTATAATGTTGTTATTATTTTTATTGAATAAATAAATAAATAAATCTTTCAGGCTATATCGGTCATTTTCGTTCTGTGGATATCCTCATTTCAGATTCTATCATGCAAAAACTGAGTATCAGGAATATTAATTCCTATTGCTACTGCTTGGTGTCTTTTTAGGACTACAGAAAAGTCAGCGTATGCATTCTATTTTATACTACAGATAGGTATACAGAAATACAGATAGATCTATAACTATTTTAATATTAAAAAAAAAAATTACAAATGATTTGGAATTTGGAATGCTATTTAGACGGGTACAATAGTAATATCAGAATACAAATCACTCTATACCAGTGTTTTCCAACCTTTTTTGTGCCATGCCCCACTTGAACATTTTTAAAAATTTTATGTCCTCATTCCTATAATATTTCCCGACAAAGTTTACTTGACGACTCTTAATCGCCCAGTTGATATTTTAGTAACGTCAAACGAAATTTTACCTAATAAATATTCACAGCATTTTTTTATTTATTTATTTTTTTGTTAAATTTAGTACCGATATCTACTCGTAGCATTGTATTTAAATTAGTAGATAGTAATTTTTAATCTATATAAGAATATTCCAATATTCTATATGAAATACTTTTTTTCGAGTCTGTAATAATAAAATTTTTTATTACAGATCTGTCACATAAACAATTTGGCATTTATGAAACGCGTAATGTAATATTTTTGTTTATATATTTTTTAATAGGTGGGTATCTCGTCTTTATTTGATGTCCTGACTATTCTTTAATGGATGATAATGGAATGGTAACCCCCGCCCGCGTTATCGGTATACACCGGCGGGGCACTAGTGAAGGATGATAGATGAGGTTGAAGCAGGTCAGTTAGCCCATCGTGACAAATTCAACATGAATTGTTCACGATGGTTTCCAGGGGGAATTACGTGGAGGTCGACCTAATAGAGCATATTGCTAGCAATGAGGCTGTCAAACTCCATTGCTAATAATCCCTTTCCCCCTATGTCCTGACTATTATTATTATAACTATTAGATTAGTATAACTAAGGCTATAGCTAAAGCTAAAGTATTATAGTAAAAATAATAATAATAAATAATAGTAAAGCTAAAGCTTAATGTCCAGTCTAGTTAGAGAATATGCCATTTTTGCACCAATACAGGTAATAGACTACAGGGATAGTAGGTGCTGTAGGGAAGAAGGATTGCAAGTAATGGGGACGTCACTTCCCACAAAACCTGTCGGATCGACCTCCACGCGGTTCCCTCTGTTTACCATTGTGTGTCTATTATGTCTCACTAGTGCAAATGGAATTACCATCCTATTATCTAGTATATAAAAATGCGAGGTATTGGGGAAGGTGGGAGGGATTCGTAGTAATGAGAACTAACAGCTCTATTGCTAGCAATGTACTTACTCAATCAGGTCGACCTCCATGTTGTCCGGCCTGGAAAATACCGTAGTTAATTTCTGGGAAATTTGTCATGACGAGTCAAATGAACAATTTTATCCTCACCTATCATTATTCACTGGTACCCCAGTATATATCGATCGATCGATAATGAATGCGGGGTATAACAGTCTTATTCTTAGCAATATGCACCATCTGACCTGCTTTCAATCTCACCCATCATCACACACTGGTGCCCCGGCAATGTATAACAATAACACAGGTGTGATTCTATTTAAAAAAAAACCTATTAAAGCATAATTACCGTTATCAATGAGGTCTAACAGCCCTATCATTATATCAGGGCGACCCCTACATTGGTTCCTTCTTGAAACTATCGCGGATAATTCTTATTGAATTCATGACGGGCCAAATAATCTGCATTCAGCTTCACCTATCTATGGTGCACTGCCAGCGTGTTACGATAACGAAAGCGAGGTTACCATTCCATTTACACCCATTAAAAAAATAGTATTTTAGACTAAATATACAAAAATCTAATTCTGGCAGGTAACATGCAAGACCCGCAATTAAAAATGAGTTGTAGTTTCTATGGAACAGAATCACCCAAGGATCTATTTCAGTTGGAAAGTTCGTGGAAATCTGATATTGAATTAGCTCAGAATAAGCATCTATCAAATGCTGAATACAGCAAGTCTGGTTTGAGCTTTCCTCAAAATTCTATAAACAAGTTTAAAAAATATTACAAACGTTATGATCACGACGAGATTCCAGTCAAAGAATTTATTAATTTGGACGCCAATTTTGTGAAGGACTTAGAAACTGGAGACAATGATCGAGTCTCATTAACTAATTCAGAATTAGAGAGAATTGAAAAGAAAGTCTATAGTAACATATCACAAGAACTACAAACGGATGAAAGCTCAACAAGTACCCTCGAATCTAACATAAAACTTTTCAAAATAACAGTCCAAGAAATTTTTGACAATTTTAAAACAAATATGCGTGATTTCGAACTTTATAAAAAGAAATTTCATGAAATTTTAGCAAAAAACCAAACTGAGCAAATTACGGAGATGGAAGACTTCATAAAGGATATGATACATCATATTGTATCTTCCGAATCCTCCCTGTCTAATAAAAATTTCAAATTAGAAACTGAACATAAGCAAACAAATTCTAATAACGGGTCTGGCGAAATAAGCTTAGACTCGATCGAAAACGGAAGAGTTTTAGAGAGTCCACATTCTATAGTAGAGGCATTTAAAAATGAAAATTATCTCACCGATTCTACTCTTGACGAAAATAATTCTAAAGTAAAATCTTGTAATAAAAAAGAAGAAAATTTTAATATTTATTTATTAAGTGGTATACCGTTTGTTCAGATTAAAATGAATGACCGAAATTTATTATCCGAAATTAATATTAAACATCCAAATGGCCAAGAACGTTCAGAATACCATGTAGCATCTGCAGAGAATATGAAAAAAGTAGGAGCTAAGAAAATTGAATTAGAGAAATACGTTAAATTACAGCAAGACCTACCAGAAAGAGAAATACCCGTAAAAGTATCATTTGCTAAGAAAAATATACATTTAGATGAAGATTTTACTTGCAGCAAAAACATGGAACACAATAAGTCGTTCATGGCTAAAATTTGTAGTTACATTTGTAAAAGATTCCGAAAGAATACATTTGTTTGAATATTTATAAAATGTAGTGAAATTCTATGTACAATACATTACAATAAAATTGATTAATAACAAGTATTTTATTATGGACTAGACAAAAATAAAATATTCAGGAACAAATTCATAAAGATTCATCATTATCTTCATAATTGACTATATAGTACCATCTAATCATTGTAATATGTTTGCACAACTGCAAAGCAAATTCTTTTTTCATATGCAAAAAGTCTTGTATGGTTGCTAAATCGAGCATTATGAAGGCTTCACCATCAATTTCTTCTTCTTTCATCTTTTTAGCTATTAGTTTGCAATCATCTGTATTAATTAAATATGAGTAAACATCATCAACAGACCACTCCAATGGATTAGGAGACAGTTTGAGCTTATCTTTCATCCACGGCAAGGAAGTGTCTTTTTCAAACATTTTATTATCGGATGGTAGAGGATCATAAGAAGTAAATTTCAATTTTTTTAATTCCGGCTCTTCAGAATCTGATACATCGGAAATATTTTTAGCATCTCTTGAATTAGAGCTGCTTTCGTTAGTATCATTTTCCGTGTCGCTATCTGGCGAGTTTTGTTTTTTTGTTACACAGGTATTATTGTACATTGTCTCTACATCTTTTTTGTTCCAATGAGCTTCTTTCATCTGTAATGCGAAATTTGGTAGTTTCGCACCTCTCGTTTTCATTTCCATTTTAGGATATGTATTTTTTTGTTCTTGCCTTTTACGTTTACTTCTTTTATATTCGATTCCACTCTCTGGTGAATTTGGCCTTGTTCCTGGCTCAGATGGTGGCGTGGAACCAGCACTGTGCTCGCTTTCGATATATTCCCCATCTTTTGTTATATCTTGACTCATTTGCTGTTCTTTTTCTCTCTTTTCAGGAGTGGACTTTTTCTTTTTTTTCTTACTGCTAAAGGTGCCTTTCGGTCTACCACGTCGCTCAGTGCCATTATCTGAAATATTTTCAATATTCAAATTTCCATTTTTTAAATTAAATACTATTACTTAATCAGAAGTCCAAATAATGAATGAATGAATTAGTATACTTTATTTACATTATACAATATAGGAAATAAGCAAGACAATTAATAAATATAACGATACAATTGTATAAGTACAGTAAGGCGGTCTTATTGCCGAGAGCAATCTTTTCAAGACAACCTTAGGGTAATGGACTAATTATTGTACAACTAGGTATTGTATAATTAAGAAAATTAACAGAATAAAACATTAAGAAAAATAATTATAAGTATTAAGTATATATAAGTATAATAGTCAAATTTTAAAAAATAAAGTGATTTAGTAATAATGTATGTAATACATTACTTATATGAAAACATAATGAGGAAATTACTCACGAAATATGGATTTATCAACTTGCTGGCAGTTCTGTGGACAGTGTTCGAGGTATTCCACTGGCCCAAAGAGACAAGGGCATGCTTGCATCTTAATACACATTTCCCGGCAAAACGACATAACTTGGTCTGCAGTCGTTGCTATTGGAACATAAGCATGATAAGTGGAAGTTTTTAATCTGAAAAAAAAAAAATTAAATATCGTAACATATGTTCTTGCGCAAAACCAGATTGCTAGAACTAAAACACGAGTTCCAAGTTAAATAATAATTAAAGTAAGTTGTATATTACATTTAAAATTGTTGCTATCATTATGTTTGTGTTGTCATGTAAAACACATACACACACATATAAAAAAATAATATTTTTCAGCAGTAGATTTTGTATTGGAAGTTTACATATTATTGCATTCTAAATGTCTTCATACTGTCCCACTTAAAAACAATAAAGATACAAATTATATGTAGTATTGAAAAAAAAAGAAGAGCATAAAAAAGAATACTTACTTAGCCCTCAACATTTCTAGTCTCATGCCTTCTTCAGGAGCTTCCTCAGTCTCCCAGTCTTTAAGCAACTTAGCTGGCTTATAAGATGCTGATATAATTTTGTTTAATACTTCTTTCAAAACTAAAGATAAAGGCCCAGGACCGACATGTTTTGGTAGCTGAGACAGTTTGTTCCTACTGATTGATGGGCCAGAATAACATTTGTAATTGAAAAAAATCCTATCACACCACTCCTCTGACGATTTCATATCTTCTTTAACATTCCTCACTTCTTCTGCTAGTTTTGGTGACTCTTTATTGGTAGATGTATCAGGGATGTGGAGTTCATAATTGTTACTATCACACCAACCCACGGGAAAGAGAAGGTCGCTGTCATGTGCATACCATACTTTCTCCCCAATAGGTAGAAGTTCCACACACACCATGTGTTCTACAATTGACCCCACTGTAGCTACATGTATTTCTGCGTGGTTCTGCGGATTAACAGCTTCCAACATCATGTTCACTTCAATTCCTTTCAATGGTGTCTTGTTCCCGAAACAGTAATCCGGAGCTGGCACTGACGAGGTCATAGACAGATATTCATCCCAATCGAAAGGGCCTTCTTTCCAAATTTTTGGTGTTTTGAATGTAATGTTGTGCTTTTCAGCCCAACCTATGGGGTATATGTATGGATGCATAGAATCACAAAGCCAAGCCATTTTTGATTCTTCATAATCTTCAAGATGGTCATCAATGATGACTAGAAAGTGAAAGTTATTAAATACTTTGGTCACAGTGGCTGGCCTTATTGATTTCATGTCCTGAGGGCTTAGAGCCTCTAATTTCATTCCTGTGACAAAGTTGTGCACTTCTAAGCTGGGAGTAGGCTGTAAAAGATAATGTCTAAAATAATAAAATATGTATAATAATATGATTGTTATTTTTTTTTTATTATGGGAATGATTCGAAGTGCCTTAGTTTTGTAAAAATAATGCTTTTACAATTTTTAAAGCCAATCAATACACATAATGTTAACAGGGATTTAAAAGAATAACTGTCGAGTTTCTTGCAGGTTCTTCTCAATAGATTACAAGTTTTCGAACTCTGCATACATAAAAAAGTTATGATTTAAAAGTGCTTGTAAACAAGTATATTTGATTAAGACGATTTGAATTGGAATGGAGAGAGTGTGCTCTTGTAGATTAGTTATTTGGTTTTAATTTTGTTTATATTACCTGAAATAAATCAGCAGGTGTTGGCTCTTTAATGGATTCTTCAGCACTCTGCCTCAATTGAGTACTGAGTTTATTCTTGCATGAAAACTTGTTCACTTTCCCTGGATATTTGAATTGCCACGGCGAACCCTTGAAACAAATTTTAATATAATCAATTTTTGAACAATGTTTGACAGAGTATTTAACTCAGAATTTTAAAACTCAAGAGTTACCATAATAACCACATTGTCTTACATTTACGCAGTCGTTGTCTAATGCAAAGTATGACTATTAACGCATATTTCTTTTTAAAAGACTGGTAGCACACATGTAATACCTCCGGTGTTGTGAGTGCTCATAGGCAGCAGTACTCACAATCAGGTGAGCCGCACATACATTTATCACTTGTGTTATAAAAAAAAGATTAGAAGTCTATAAAGAAGGTTACCTTATTAGTGACGAATCCAAAATTACACAAGCGCGGATTTGAGAAGAATATCCAGAAATCTTGCTGATCATCATCCGCACCGTCATAGCGTAGTAAAAGCCGCCCTCCCACATTCTCAGATACCTGGGAAATATATTTACTTTTTGTATTAACAAAATTCATTTTCACTTGCAAATATTAATATAAAAATATGATGAAACTCACTGTTGCAATCCAATATTTGTATGGATCCAGAATATTTTGCACTTCCACCTTCATCCCTGATATAATTCTATCAATAGGTGACAACCCCTTGTTATTTAAAGCTTCTATTGACACCGATTGTCCACCCATTAGTACTTTCTTCATTATGTCTATGATGGTATCTCCATACCTTTCATTTATATCATCAGGTGGTTCTATTAACTCATCATACTTCCCACACCAACCAAGAGGGTGCACCTTAGTGCCAGATATATCACACCAAAAATCACTGTCAGCCCCTATAAACTTGATCCTCAAGAGGTGTCCACAAACCATAGTAATTTTAGCAATCCAGTATATGTCTGGATTCGTTTTATGGCATACTTCAAGCAGCATGCCTTGTCTAATGCCATTGTTAAGACTTGCTTCCACCTGCAAACGCAGATAAAGTTTTCTTCAATTCTTTTTGTTCCACAAAACACAAAAAAAACTATTTCTATTATGACAAAATTAAGATGAGACGAATCCCTTATCCTTACTAATAATAAAATTGTGAAAATATTTTGTTTGTTCGATACCTCTTTGTATAAAAACTTAATATAAAAATCTGTTTCTTTTATTATCCATATTAGGACATTCATCCCAATATCCATTCTTTGGGAACACCAGATGATGTCTATAAACATATTAGCTGACCCCACAAACTTTGTTGTCCCCTTACCTTTACCAAACCCCTTTATTTTTATAAATTTCTTCGCAAATAAAAATCATTGATAATTTTTTATTTTTATTTATTACACTCCTAGTTAGCTCTCTAACTAGATGGTGATATTATTAAAAAGTCTAGTACTTTCTTTTAATCTCCTTAAATTAATAATAATTAATATAGATAGATAGATAGATACTTTTTACTGTTTCCTCCAAAAGATTACAATAGTAAACTTATTATAAATATAAATAATTACAAGAAATAATCATATATATGCTAGAGCTGCTATAAATAATCTTGATCATTAAATCTGCTACTGGGGACCTGACTTCTACCTTGCTCCACATAATACATATGCATAGTAATAATGGATTTGACCCTAACAAACTAAGATATTTGGAAAATAGCAATGGATAGGAGAACATTAAAATTGAGAAAAATATAAAAAAATCAAAACATTCTTACTTTTAAAAATAATGAGAATAACAAAATATACTGATGCCCAAAAGGACAAATATTTATTTATATAATAATTAATATATTATCTAAAATTTATTGATATATTAACCAGGTTCACTACAATTCATTAGAAATATTATTAAAATTTTAAAATTAAATTTTAATAATGAAGGTAACAATAAAAAGGTGGTGTTGAACATGCACCTTTTGCACTATACCTGGGACAAGTATAGTATAAAAGGTGAAGTTTGGAAGCAATAGGGTCTGCTCTTGCATCTATTCCATATTTTTATTTTAATAAGCATAATTTTGTCTCAATTAAAGTTTATTCTATTCTATTCTTAATAATTTAATACAAAATAGCTATCAACTTTTGAAATAAGTACAGTGATGAAGTTATAATGATGGCTTATTAATATACTCAATTCTATTGTAAGTTATAAACTTATATAAATGGACAAACAATTAAATATAATTATTTATTTAGAAATTTACATCTTTCTATTGCAGAAACCTATTTTTCTGAATTATATTTAAATCTAATCCTCCTTGATTATTGATTAATATTAAAAAACAACGATTTTTACTTATAGATGAACTAAATAAAAATAAAATCAAGAAAAGTTCATTTATCATTTTAGTATATTTTAACAAAGCTCCTAAAGTAGACAGGTAACAGGTAGCGTGGGAATATTTTTATTTTCTATTCTATTATCTATATAATAATATATATTATTTAAATATTAATTTGAAAAGTTATTTACGCATTTTAAAAATAAAGTATTGGATGACTAATTTAATGAAATAACAATTAATACTTTTTTGCATTAACTATATTAGGTATTTATTATTTAACAATTGATACACGATAAACTTACATGAGAAAATAATTCCTCTGGGACGGCAATGCACTTATTAGCTTCCAAAAAAATACTCCAGTCAAACTCCACCATTATACAAAATAGTGTTTAAGTTCATCAAGAAAAATTATAAATAGCACATAACACAACAATTAAATAGAAATGAAACGGTCATGAAGCTCTCAGCTGGCTGAATGAACTTTTCTACTTTATGAAATTCAATTTCAATAGTAATCTATCTCTCTTTAGCAAACCTAAGAATGTATTTATTTATCTTCTTCGCACTTATTGTTTTATAATTTATACTACTTTCCTTAAGTAGGTATTTGGTATGTAGTAAACAACAACACGGTCTTAAACCCTATAATCGTATAGCATATACAAAGTAAAATTAGTGAATAAATGGATTTGCTTAGATATCAAAGTATAATAAGATTTTATCATCGCAGTTGATAGTCGCTAATAGAAAACATTAACATATATCATTAGAGATGGGCAATCCACCTGGGTGGGTTTAAAGTCTGGTGGGTAAAAACCGGGTGTTTTGGGTTTATTGGGTTTAAACCCCATAAACACCCAAATTTTTGGGTGTTTATGATTTTGTACTTCATCATCGTCATCTCAGCCGCAAGACGTCCACTATACTGGACATAGACAATATTATTATGCAGCCTACAGAATAAAAAACTTTTAATTTGATTTTGAGTTTATTAAGAAAGAGATGAAAGTAAAATGTAAAACTACAGTCAATCACTGTCAGATTCAGAGTTATTACAAGCGATGAATTGTATAGGTTCGATAGGCTCTATTTCGTCTAAACTGTTATGTTCATTTACTTGCTCAATGAAAGCTTCTAAGGTATTTTCTTCATTAAACTGAATGTCCTCGCATTCAGCTTTATGTTTAAGATTCCAGTTATAACAAATGAATGAAATTTTTTCAGTTCTTTCAGTTGTAAGTCGATTTCTTTTGTTATTATGTATGTAGCCTTGGATACTAAAGGAACGCTCAGTGGCTGCCGAAGTACAGGGAGCTGATAGAATACGAATCGCTACTTTGCTTAACTCAGTGGAACCACAAATACCTTTCCACCATATTAGGGGCTCAATGCTATCTAATGAGCTCCATACAAATCCTCTGGCCCAAAAGTTTTCTTTAGCTTTATAACACGCCAAATCTGCCATTACATTTGACAAACTTAAGTGTTGGCTTAAATTGTAGATAAACTCCATACCCTTAAGTTCTTCCTCTTGAGTAAGTTCGACTCCTAGAGTCCTGGGGTCTAGAATATATGCTGCAAAATGTATTGGCCTCATTGCCATATTGCATCTTGAAGATACTGATGTTAGAATCTGCTGTTTGCTTTCTTCGCTCAATGTCGAAATCTCATTTAATGCAAAACGTATCTTAGCTTGTACATCTCTAAATGTAATGTATGTGCGATGCAAACGATTCTGGTCGCTCTCTAAGTAAAATATGCTTTCAGTGACTGGTTCCAAAATACTTATACATTCCCCTGTCTTCGTCCAGAAATCATCACTTAGAATTAAATCTTTAATATCTCTTGAAATTACCACATCTTCTCTAACTGTTAATATTTGCAAAGCTATCTTATTTGCTTTCAAACTTTTTAACGAAGTAACATGACTTCCCCATCTTGTAGCACAAGGCAATTTTAGTGTTTGTGTAGAATCTTCACCCTGCCTTGATTTTATCAACAAGGAACTTAATCGTTGACTCCTTTTAACAGTTTTTATTATATTTATGGCTTGCATAATAAACACAGTTACTTCTTGTATCTTTACAATATCTTGGCACAACAAGTTAAGGATATGTGCACAGCAACCGAGAGGAACAACATGTGGATATTTGAGTTTTGTTAATTCGAATGCCTTTTGTATATTTCTAGCGTTATCGCCAATAAGTACAAGAAACTTATTTGCTCCATACACTTTCATTACTTTTTCAACTTCTTGGCTAAGGTATTCACTAGTGTGAGGATTACTTTCTGTATTCAAACTTTTAACGTATGCAGGTTGAGGTTTTGATATAAGAAAGTTTATTATTCCTTCATTTCTTAAATTAGACCAGCCATCGCACTGAAGGTGTAAGTAACTACAAGCATTTAGTTCCTCATTTAACTCAAAACGCATTTCTCTATATATTTTATCTAAGTATTTTGTCGCTAAAGCTTTACGTGAAGGTATTTTAAATTTTGGTTGCAATTTTTCGAAAAATTGTATCCATAAAGGATGTTGCACCATCGATAATGGCGTCCCTGTTACAAATATAGCTCTCGCTAATTCTGTTTTTATATGATCATCGGTGTCTTGAAACTCAGCATTTATTGTAGTGTTAGCAGACGACGAGGGGCTTATAAAAGAATCATTTGTCTCTATCTCTGACAGTCCAGACATTTTGGTTTTGGACGAGCTATCTTTTATAAGTTTCATAGAGTCTTTTAATGTTTCTGGAGATTTTGGACAAGTGATAAGATGTTGAAGCATTTTGGCAGCATTACTGAATTTGTAGACCTTATTACAAAGCTTGCAAGAAACAGACTTGTTTGGTAAAGTACGGTAGTGCTCCCATATGCGTAAATCTTTAGGTCTCCCCATTGAACCTAAAAAAATGAACGATGATTAGTTGGTCTGACGAAAATTCAACAATAGAGTGCCTATTTTTTTACAATGATTATTTCTTGTTATTTACAATAAATTTATTAAAAAAATAATAAAATAAATACAAAAAACCTTTGTAAAATTACATCTCCTCGGAGGATTAAACGCAGACGCTAGTTTATTATCGTATTGTTCTGTATTTTTCTCAGCAACTTCTTTAATTCGATTAGGTACTTACGCATATTATGTTAAAAATAAATATCTAGTACACATCTTAGGCTATCCACCATTATTATCCAATGACGACTCTCAGCTAACTATGCACTATCATCCAAAATAAACGTGTATGGAAAATTTTATCCCAGTCGGTTGAGGATTGAGGATAATTGCATCAACATACGAACATACCTACATACTTTTATTTACATAACGCAAGCTAAATAAAAGCTTGTAATAATACATCTAATTTTAAGTTAAAATTGTTAAGTGATCATGATATAATTGTATCATTCAAAAATCCACTTACCTTTAATTATTTCTTGTTAAGTATAAATATTATTTCAAATCTGCTCCCTTAATATGCACTTTTTTACTGCTTTTCCTACCTAACACGTTACCAGGAAGTCACGTTACCAGAGTCAGAGTAATAGTGAACACGTTTGACAGTGATTGTCGTCGCCTCATATTCAGCGTCGACGAATAGGGGAATCCCCAGTCATAATGTATTGCATGCGTGGCGGTCTTACTTCAAATCCATAAACAAAGAGATAATTACAGAACTCGATACTAGATGGCACTGTTTTTGTTTGAAGAAAGTTTGCGGGCTAAAATACATAGAATTTCATCAATGACTTCCACAAAGAACAACATTTCTGTTTTTTCTAAGTCCGTATCTCTTCCGTATATTTCATAAGATATAAGCTTGGGCTACATTGTTATGCAACGTGATTTTGTCGCTGTCTTGCTAGCAGGGTTGACAGATATACGATTTAAATCGTACTCATACTATTATTTGTCTATTTTTTAATGTACGATCGTAAAGATTATGATCGTAATTCGCACAAAAACATACGACTTTTTGGTTACCTGGCAACATTTTTATTATGAAACGAACATGCTCACATCATCAGTCACATGCAACAATTTATTGGGGATTTCCCCTTCACATCTGGCAGTCCTGCTTGCTAGAATATAGGTAAGTCAGCCACAGTTACTGACGATCGATATTTAAAGGGTATTGTTTTTGTGCTAAATATTTCATAAAAACGTTATTTAATACTTTGTGGATTATTAATTTAGTTGATAATCACTGGAAGTAAAATGGATGCTAATTTGAGAGATCAAGATCTTCGTATAAAACAGTTAATAAAAGAAAATCTACGTAAGTACTCTTTTTATACCTAGGTAGGTAAGGTATAATAAACACAAAAGGTACTTAGATCGCGTGTGTTCGAAGCATTTATTCTAATAAATTTAATTTAAAATTGTAGAAAGAAAAAAATGTCTGCCAAGCCGTAGCCGAAGCCGATCTCCAAATATATTTGGCGATAGTGAGACCCAGTGTCCAGATGATTTACCCAGCGTCGTCGCAACAAAGAAAAAAACGAGGATAAAGTAAAAGAAAATTTACTGAAAGAAGAAACAAACTGTTCTAAATGCTTAATTTATGGAGAAGAGGATAAAAGAAATGAGTATTTCGGACTGTTAGTGGCTCAAGAATTTAAATATATACGGCCATGTGTGCGAACGAGGTGTTATGAAGAAATTTTAAAGTATCTACGGGAAGCAAAAGGCCAACATGTTGATCAACTGCAACATGAAAACACTGAAAATTAATTACTTTCATTTTATTATATATAGATTTTTAAAATTTCCTGAAATATTATTAGTTAACGTTTTATTTAATATTGTAGAATTGATCAATACAATTTATAAAAATAATTTATTGGTATTACTTACATATTTTCAAAAAAATACGTAAAAACCTATTTTTTTGGGTGATTATGGGAGTTTATGGGTGTTTATTGGGTTTTTACCAAAGCACCGGGTTTAAACCCGGTGCTTTGCCCATCTGTATATATCATAGCTTATAATAAGCTATGAACATTATTCCTAATAGCATAGTAGTCTTGTAGTTATAATTTCTACTTTCTTTTTTACTAGCTAAATTGTTAATACATGTTTTTTCGTTATCTTTTAATGTTTTTATTAATAAGTTCCATTTAACGTCGTACTATCCCTGATCTTAGGTTTGCACTTCGTTAAAAAAAGTTAGATAACAAATCATAGACATATAATTAAATAATAATACATTATCATATCTGTGCATCGAATATTGTAGAATTTTAAGCTATTGCAACTAATTATTTTTAAATTTTAGATGTTTTGTTTTTCTGTTTCTGTTTATATAGAAAATAATATTATTAATCACATAAAATTTCGTTTAGTCGCATTCGTTTTCATGGTATTTCTTTTATTATTCATTTTTTTATATCTAAGTTTTAAAATAAGAACAAGGAATTACATGACGTGATAAAAATATCAATTCATAGCAGCCTAGTGTTAGAAAATGTTATACGGCCGTATAACCCTGCCAAATTTAGATACAACCTGCTTGCATACTTTCTACGTAAACTATGTCGAATATATAATCTAGTAATATAAAATTTGTCATTGACAAATAATTGATATATCAAACGTTTTCTACACATTACCCTGCTATGAATTGAGAAAAATATCAACTGATTGTGTATCTTTCATCCTCTTTTTAATTTTTGAATTATATTTGTATAAGAAGAAAAGAGCAACCATATTATACATAGGAAATGTGTGGATTTTGATAGGCTAAGGAGTTATGAATATACACTCGCGAGCAACCAAATCGTCTCAACCCTTGACAGCGCACATATGCATTGATTTTACTAAAACGACAAATGTCAATTATAAAAATGATATGTCATTTGCAAGGTGAAGAATTATGCTCTCATTTAACATCAATACCCTAAAAAAAACTTAAACGCTGAAAATTTGTTCCATAATATATATATATATATATATATATATAACAAGTTGACGAATGGGCCCGATTCTAGAGTGCCTTTAATTTTATCTGTTAACCTCTGATTACTAAACAGGTTAAATTAAGGACTTTTATAAAAAGTGTATTCATTCATAGACATGGGAGACATGTATGTTTGTACATTTTTCTCATAAAGAGGGTCATATGCGATTAAGTGAAAAAATCGTTGAAATTTCTGATAGCACCTTAGATAGTACGTACTTATTTGTTTCTAAATCATTCTGTAGAAGCAGCACTAACTTTCGCTCACTAATCGCTTTCTAGTCTCTCTAATCCAAAGATTTCGCAATTGCTCTAATCTGTGGTCGCTTTTTTTTATAATAAATGTCGACAGCGAATGTCATCCAATTTTCGCCTAATTCAAAGATTTCGGAACAGTAATTCCTTGTTCTAGCCCTAATTGCAATCATAGAGTAGGTAAATATTCAAGGGGCGGAGTCTCATCATACTGTCTCATTCTCACACGACGAGTCAATACGTCATTCCGTACTGTGATTGAGTTTATTTTCTGTCTCATAACAATAAAATTTCGTTTCCAGATGGCTAACTGCTGGTGTTAGTCCTTATTTTTTTCATTTGTTAGAAAATTGTGGTTGTTATTAATTTTCGTGAACTGTTGCAAAAACCAGTGTTTTGTTGAATGTTCATTATGTGAATACTTTCTCTTCGTGCTCGAGTGATTGTGTTGCGATATTGACAATGTCTCATTTTAGCTATTTCAACGAAATATCAACATGGAACAATGCAACACCTGATCAGGACAACTGTATGTTGGTGAACACATCACACAGCGTCATTATCACAGACGTTTATAACGGTATACCTCAGACTTTGATACTCAACTTGATATCGTGGTTATGCTTGATCGTTCTGTTTACTATTTTGCGACGAACAGCATGGAACTATGGGCGAATGGCGCTTGTACAGCGGACAAAAAGTCGTTGGACAAATTTGTTTTATTACCGCGGCGGAGACGGTGACGCTCTCGTCGATAGGAGGAGAAGCAACGATGAATCGACCAATATTGATGAGGGCTTTTTTACGTGGCTCCCTGCTGTGTTTAGCCTGACCCGCGAACAAGTTCTCGCTAAATGCGGCCCGGATGCGGTGCACTATCTGTCCTTCCAGAGACATTTGATAACTCTCATGTTCATTGTTACAATATTTTCTATAGGTATTATTCTACCCATCAATTATCAAGGAATGAATATGGGAAGTAATTCAACGTTCGCAAGTACTACACTGTCCAACTTGAATGGAGGTTCTGATTGGTTGTGGGTTCATACTCTGATAAGTATCTTATTTTTACCTGTATCTGTTTTAATAATGAGACGCTGCACTGGCCGCAAGCCTGTACCCAAATCACTAACAGGTACAATAATGATAACAAACATATCGAGGGCTGATAGAAATGAATCAACAATAAGGGCTTACTTTGCTCATAACTTCCCTCACATACAAATTGTTGATCTGCGACTCGCTTACAATATCAATAAACTGAATGAAGTACAGGAAAAGAAGGAGATGGTAACAGAAGCACTTGTTTACTGTGATACATATTTTAAAAAGACAGGGAAGCGTATCACAGTTAGACCAAAGTGGTGCGGACCTGAAGCAGATGGTTTGGATTATTATACAGCTGAAGAGAAGAGACTGAAGGATGAAGCCAAGAGAAATCGTGCACTGGTCCTCAATGACCCTCTAAGTATTGCTTTTTTGACTTTGCCATCTTATCAATTAGCCGAGCATGTTATCAATAATTTCAGCTTGCACCGTGGTTGGGTGTTAACTCATGCCACAAACCCAGCAGACATTATTTGGGAGAATTTAAGCGTCCAGCCTGGTGTTTGGTATATAAGAGCCATTTGTGTTAATTTTTTCTTGTTCATTGTACTGTTCTTTCTAACAACTCCAGCGATTATTGTTAATCTTTTTAATACTGTAGTTGTTAAACCTGAAAATACAGATAGAGTTAGCTCCATAATGTTTGACTTCCTCCCCACCTTGCTTCTATGGACTATGGCAGCGGTGATGCCAGCCATAGTGTCGTTTTCTGATAAATTTCTTTCTCATTGGACAAGGTCTCAGCAAAACTATTCTATTATGACTAAGACAGTTTCATTTTTGCTTCTTATGACCTTAATTTTGCCTTCACTTGGACTGGCCAGTGCCGACGCTTTCATACGTTGGACATTACACCACGAAAACGATACTATGCGGTGGGACTGTGTCTTTTATCCTAACAAAGGGGCATTTTTCGTTAACTATGTCATAACCTCGGGTTTTATTGGTACATCTTTAGAATTGATCCGTTTTCCGGAACTTTTCCTTTATGTTTGGTATTTGTTACAATCAAAGTCAAAGGCGGAGAAGAGTTATGTGAAAAAAGCTATTTTATACGAGTTCCCATTTGGAGTACATTATGCATGGAGTATAGCGATTTTCTCTATAGCAATGGTTTATAGTCTTGCGTGTCCATTGATTTCACCATTTGGGTTAATCTATCTAATTTTCAAACATATAGGAGATAAACACAACTTGTATTTCGCTTATGGTCCTTCTGATATGAGTGGTGTTGGGGGAGGCCGAATCCATGCGACCGCAGTGCGACTTATTCGCATATCTGTCTTACTTCTTCTAGTGAACATGGCTGCTTGGGCGGGATTGAGGTCAGGTTTTGAAGCACGCACTATAATATTGATAATGGCATCTATCGTCGCGTTTGGCACCTTTTTGTTACTCAGTCCGTTCCCTAGTTGCACGCCCCCAGCGCCCCTGCAAGAGGAGTCTAGTATAAGATTCCCTGAATACGTGGCACCTGTTCTTAATAAGCCAATAGACACGACGCCAATTTCGACTCCTTCCACCCCTGACTATGGCGCATCTTCACCTGTAAGTCAACACACTTATAATCCAGACACAATAAATATATAAAGATGACAACAAATAACATCTAGGTACCTAACAATTATTAACATTATAATGTGATTTTTTCATCTACCGAAAAGATTACAGTTAGCCCCGTATCGACGGTGCCTTCGTATCTCTAAATAATCTAATATATCTATAGTGTCATTATGTACAGCATTATGTTACTTTGTTGTGTGATAATGGACGACAGTGTAGTTTTATTAATGTAAATAATATAATAATGTATGCAATATTTTCATATTAGATAGCTATAATTGCGGCCGATGATTGGAATTTTACGAATTACGTTTTCCCATTAGATCAGAGGGCCTACCATGAAGTATTTTCCGAAATTTCGGGAACGAACGAAACAGAAATTTGATGTTAAAATTACATAATACATGCTGTTTAAAATTATTAAAAAAGTTAAAATATCGTTCCTTTCGACTATTAGAAAAGGATTTATGATGAACGAAATGTTAAGCTTCATTTACTGGGTCGATTTTGATATGAACAAAAACACGAAATTGAGCCCGAAATTTCGGAATTTCATTTCATGGTAGACCACCAGATATGTTGTCGTCAGTAACAGAATTATCAAACGTAAGGAATCTGGAAATTTCTAGTTCAATACATTCAGTGGTTAGTGATATTCAATAACCGTTATACACTCAAGATCAACTCAGTTCAGATAGACGCAAAGTAGTTCTCCAAGTTAATGGGCTGTATATTAGATATTCATTATTATAGAGTTCAAAAGAAATACCAGTTAATATGAAGGATACGCGATCAAAACATCTTTTCTAGTCTAATTCGTTTTATTCTCATAATATTAAAATGTTATAACACTTTAGCTCGTTACATACTCTTACTATTCAGTTTTATTCGTTGCAACATCAAAACTATTGTCGTCATAAACTTCGTAAGGATCTTATACAAAATTGCTCGCGAGACGACAAGCGCTTTTTCATGTTTTATTAAACTTTTGCCTAACAATTGTTTTGTTTAGTGAGCGCAAGTTCTGATACAACATTATCATCGTAAAACAAATAGGAATTTTATTTGCCCTTCAGAAATATTACAGATGCCTTAGTTTACATGTTTGAAAACTTTTTTTAACATAGTAATTTTATTTAGTCATATTAGTTAAATAATCATATTTTTAGTTGAAGTTAGTTTTAATTAGCTTGTCGGACATTGGTTCTTTCTTCTGGTAGGATTTTAAACGGACTCTGAACTGTTTGCTGACTAATAACGTTGATGTATTTTATTGAATTAGGTGTTATTTTATAAGACTTCATACCACTGGCGATTGGATTTTGATTACATTCGTATTTATGTTTTTTGCGCGTGTGATTATATCATGAACTTATTGATCTAAACATGAAACCGGTTATGGGCACAACTTCACAAGGCATGATGGGATGGCACGAGCCTAACCAATTATGTCATGGTTGTATGACTATGGTGAATTCTTTAGCTCTCGTTACACCTATTGCTATATAAAACGTGCTACGGCGCATATTGAAATCATTAATGTCTGATTTACAACGAGGTAGTGATTATAAAATCAACTAGAAAATACTCCAGTTCTTACACAAGTGAACGCTATTCGGCCGTAATAACTCCAAACATCGCAGCCGCTATTCTCTTTGTGATAGTACCATTATTTTTTCGTATTATTTATTCGCCTATATAGTTTTGTTTTATTATATTTTTTATTATTTAGCAAAATTTACGAAACGAGATCTTGCTGCGGGCTGTCATTAATTAGTTAATATAGCGAATAATGTTATTAATGCAAATACTCTACTCCGCATAATTTATTACGTTAATAGGTAGATACATTGTTTCATTTACTTGTTGTGCATACATAATGTTAAATATCGGAATGTGATTAGGTCACGATGTAGCCATATTTATTGATAAAGCAGATGCTTCTCTAAAGGGTCTGCATAGACTAGAGACTAGAGGCTTTGTTTGTGTACTATGTTAAATTCCATTAGCCCTCAATTCTATTTCTAGAAACTTCAATAAGTTTCCTCCTGTTCAAAACATCCTGTTCTCAATTTTGTACGCTACGCAATATCTTCGCCAATTTTGAATCGATTTCGATAATTTATTGCGCATTCGATAGGATTTATGTAATATTTTTTTGTGAAGTAAAATTTCAAACGATATCGGGCATGTGACCTTATATGGTTTGTAGCCCTGGACTTTTATCTTCTAATCAGGAAACATAATTATAGAGAGCTATGAATTCGATCAAATATTTGGGTTGTGGTGTTGTTTGTTATGTAATTTACATTATTATCATTTGTGGTTTGAGCGTTGTAAAAAGTACCTATTAATTATTTATGTCTGGGCACAGAAACAGAACGGTAGAACAATAAATTCCCAAGTTGTGAAACGTAATTTTTCACATTGATAATTATTTTTCATCCATATGTACATTCGTTTTCATAGTTTCACAACACAAATGTTTTGTGTTGTGAAATTGTGAAGATGAATCTGCGCTACTGTAATAACTAGTGTTGCGTCCATACGTTACGTAGGCAGGCAGACCATTGTCCCGTTTTTTAATGAATAATGAAAAGGTAACCGCTAAAAGTCTGCGCTATCGATATACATTGGCGGGGCATCGGTAAGGGATAATAGGTGAGGATAAAAGGGCAGATCAGTTAGCCCATCGTGATGAATACACATGGAGTTCAGGATTATGGTTTTCAGGGGGACCACGTGGAAGTCGACGTGACAGGGTATATTGCTAGCAATAGGACTGGTAGTTCGCATTACTAACAATCCCTTCCCCCCATTGTCCTGCTTAGATATCCTACCTTAATAATGAGTACATAATATTTACATGACATTAATTTTCGTTACTCAAATTTATTCCACGCTGTTAGTATTGATTCAATGTTCTATTTTTATAACTTTACGTATATGAACATTTTGTTAGTCTTACATTAAGGGTTAATGTCCTAACTTCGAGATTGATTTTTATCCAAGTTGTGTCCACATTGAAAGATGTTTAACAAACACATGATAGCCTGTCTGTTGTGTTTTTCAAGTGTGGTATTCATGTAGATAAGGCTTAAAGTGGAATAAATTGACCAAATTTATTTGTTTATACACATATGTCTAACTAGCTACACATGATGATGACACTCGTACCGCCTAACAGTCGATTAATATCATTTCAGCTTTTAACATTTTTTTTCCGTGAATTTATCTGATATTAGTTATTCTGCTATTTGGATGCAACTTAGAATGGCAAACAAGCTGACGGCCCACTTGATGGAAAGTCGCCTTTAGACATGAGCAGTACCATGGACATAACAGAGTATACTGTATCGCCCATGACACCCCCCATGCGTTACCATTCCTGAGGACTTAGGTGTTGTTCCTCTGTACCCTGTAAATTTACTGCCATATCTTACCCTTTAAACTTACTCGTGCCCCGTCAGCGTATACTGATACCGCAGAAGGGGTTACAATTCCATTATCATCCAAAAAATCCCTTCAAACCGAAACACAACCATGTAAACACAACTGCTTCACGGTATAAACACGAATGGCACAGAGATGCCCAAGCAAACGACTTTTGTACAAAGTCCCTCTGGTACCTAATCTGTCTACCTAATGTAAGTTTGAATTAATTTTGGTTGCGTTACGACTAGCTGTTGTAAAATTGGAATTATTGCATTATTTTCATCATTAGGAATTAAATATAACGTTATCTGATGGATAAATGGTCGTTTAATCTCATGATAAGAAATTATGGTTATACAATGAAAGAGATAAAAGAGACTTCTAAAAAAACTGATGGTCAATTATAAATAACTATCTATAATTATTAAATCAATGTCCTCTGCCCCATCTAAACAATTTTCATATCGATTGAGCAAACAGAGAATATTAGTCATTCCCAATTAGCACATCTATTGTGTCTGAAATATCAGTCGTCGAAGATTTTTTTGTCTTTAATATATCACTTATCTATCTTTTTAAAGGTTGACGTTATATTTGTCTCAAATTGAGGTCTCCACAAATATGTGAGACTGTCAACTTTATTGTGGTTATTTAATCACATAGGCAAATAAGTGCATCAGTGTTCGATGGCCGATTACTCATACTACCGTAATAGATCTAATTTGTCACCATTTTAATGCTTAGTAAATGTGGATTGGTTATCAACAAATATTTTCTCAAATTTAATGTTTACTTGGATGTCCTGTTGAGATAATATTTTTACTATTGTATAATATACATAATGTATTATATATGAATAGGTATTTAAGTGTAATTAAAATATGGAATATTAGGGGCTATTGACCTCTGCATAATGCAGGTTCAAACTCGGACAGTTACGAAATTTTGTCATTCACAGGATCAGAATATATTTTAATAATACTATGAATACGGAAATAGTTTTGTCTTTTATTGTCAAAATAATTAATAGATTTACATATATTTCTGTAGAGAATACTCGAAGTACGTAAGCCAATTAGGTTATTTTTGCAATGAAATATATGCTACTTATAAAACTTTTAACAATAAGAGTTTGTTTTTTGTTTTGTTCAACTATTCGTCATAAAGTACACACATGGTGTTCGAGATGTAGAATGACATAGCTATCATTTATTTCGGTCACGCGGACAATGTCGGGGTTAAAAACTAGTCAATTGATAATTACCAAGCGTCTAATCATAAAATACTAAGTAAATCACTAATATTGGGCCAGAATTGGTAAAGAATATTGCATAATTTACACAAGAGTAAACGAATCGATATGGGACATCTTTTTTCTTTTCTGTTAAAATCGATTGAAATTGAGAACTTAACTTTTCTGTTTTGACCAACAGAGACAAATGTGAATTATTACATTATATAATGCTAATGAAAATTAACTTACTAAATACCAATATTAGTACCGCTGAGAGTCAAGATAGCTTCTAAAAAGGATTAGGAGAGCCAATCGTGACTTGAGCTTGGCGATTTTACCAATCTTACCATAATTATACCATATTATAATAAAATGAGAACAAACATATACTTACAAAATTATCTTAGCCTAAGATAAACACATTTAAAAAGCATGCTCGGCGTTTCAAGAACAAGTAATTTTTTTTGAGATGGTGAAGCAGGTCAAGACTGCTACCAGACTACCCCCAAAAACATACACAGTTTGATAGGTTATTGACAATTTTATTAAATACATTTATTCTTTATTTTTAGTTTATTTAATTAAATGACTAAAACCTAAAACTAAACCTTGTAATTGTACACCAAACTCGTTCTGGGTCTCGCTCTGTTGGGTCTTGTGGCGGTGAATGCGTAATCACATACTGTGGTCTGTATTATTGGCGGTATTCAAATTATGTAATAAGTTATATCTAAAATATAAAGATGGCTTAGTCATTATTTAATAAAGATGTAAGTAATAGAGAATAATAAAGCTTTCTGGATGAAAGTGTTCATTTTTATTGCGGCCAAATACAACGAATTATCCAAGACACGTGTTAGAGCTTTGCCACAATAATGCTAGTGAAAATGTGAAATATTTTTTTCAATCAAATATACCAAGACATTATTATTGTGACAAGGTACCTGAAAATTATTTTTATATTAATTACTCGCATGTCTATCTAATCATAAAGTCGTAAAAGATCCTGTCTTGATCTTATTATCTGAAATTATCCAGTATTGATAAAGTTTATGTTAAAAAAGTATTAATGTAAAAGACAAAAGTTTGAGTTTAGTTCTTGGTCATTGTCAAGCTTTTTAATAGTGACTAAAAACAATTTATATAATAATAACATTGAGTTAATAACATTGTTTGCTACCTATGTTGTAACTATATTTATTCTAATTATTAGAATTAATGTCTATATCATATTTTTGTCATGAAATGACGGAATCACGAATTGATGTACCTAATATTACGTGATGTGGGAAGAGTTGTAAAATTATAGAAAGAAATTTAAAGTATATTGTATTAGGCACTCGTAAATTATAAATAGTTGTCATTTCCTGTTAATTTGTAGCTTTTTTCAATGTAGTTAAATTGCAATTTACTAACAAGATTAGCACAGTTTAATATATTAAAGTGGCCAGGTGCATTTTATCTTTGTACCCTTTTAAGAGAAAGGACAAAATGTTATGTTTTGAAATGTGAACAAAACTTTGATTTGATAATTTAGATTTGAATGTAATATGATGCACTTTTGCTTGCTTTAACCGTTTGTTTACTACAATGTATATAGCAAATATATCAAAGAATATTTTTTCTCTCTGCCATTCTTGGCATAACTTCATTTGGCGTTCATTTTACTCGTATAGTCGACAGGGTTTATTCCTGTGCTAGTTTTATATTAATTGTAACCAATGTTTTTGTTCCAAATAAAGAATTATTATTGTTATTATTTTGTCTTGATTGAAATAGCTCTTTTTTTGGAACAAATACCTCTCTTATTTAACTCTAAACTTTTGATGTTTACACAAAGATTATAGTGATAAATAAGCTTGAGTAACTTTGTAGTCATTCACTACTGGGTACTTACACGAAATCAAAGAAATCCCTACTAATTCAAATGTACATTACTGCATTAATGTGCAAAACAATTCTACAGTTGTATTTTTGTTGCAATATACATTTTGTATTTAGTATTATATGTAAATAAGCTTTTAACTAAAATATGTTTTAATAAATTGTTTTGTAAAATACTGTCTTTATATTTATTCGCCTCTGCGTCGTAAACAGGAAAAATGTGGAAATTCATGAATGTATCAGGTGACAATGTTAAGTTGTCGCGTAATTTGTAAAATAGTTTTTGGCGTTAACATTGTTGTCGTAACTGACATAGTCCTAAGGATAAACAAACTGAAGTGGCAATGGACTAGTCACATAACTCAAAGAACCGACAATGAAAGGAGAAGAAAGATTCTTGAGTAGCGCTCCGTACGGGCAAACGCAGTGTAGGATGACCCCTCACTGGATGGAGTAACGACCTCAAATGCATTGTTTTTATTGGTGAAAATGTAATAATATCCCCAGTAAGCGTGATAGGTGAGGATGAAGGTCTGCCGAGATTTTCCCGTTTCTTTAAAAAGAGTATATTAAGGTCTATTCAGGGTCGGCAACACGCACTTCTAGTGCTGCAGGCGTCCATAGGGACCATCAGACGGGCTGTATGCTTGTTTGCCATTTTCGTGGTATAAAAATATGTGCAATAACGAATAAAATATCTAAGAAATTGTTCAGATTGATACCTGCTGCTGAATTTCACCATCATTCAATTAGCCATAAAGTTCCATTCCACATATTTGGGCGGTTTTCCACTATACATTTTCAAGGCATTTTCTTACACGCACAACCATTCTTTGGAATCAACATCCAGCAACATATTTTCGAACCGATTCGAAATCATAATTTTTAAGAAAAAAAACTTATTTTAAAATGCTAGCAGCATATCTGCGATTATTCCTGTGTGGCGAGTGCTGAGTGAAGGTAATCACCATTAGGTGAGCCGATTGCTTCTTTGCCTCCTGTGTTATATAAAAAAAATATTCCCAATTTCAGTATTGTGGCCAAAAATAAAAATATCATTATGAGCACATACTTTCTACTGATAGATACGTATATTTAGGTATTTTTCACCTTCGTGTTTACAGACATGCGTACATAACCGTAATCCTAATTGTTTACTGCATCATATACTGTATTTTTGAAAAAAAAAAAATTAAATGGCAGTCTGTGATTGAAAGCTAATATGGATGGTTGTAGAACTTCTGGTAGTAATAGTGGAGGTCAATTTTCAGTGTTGGGAGTCACACATGTACTAATGGTAGCGAAATTAAACACAATAATTGTAATCAAATAACCAGTGACATATACTTCTGGAAGGTTACACCTAGTTCAGCATAATAAAAAAAAAAAAAAAATTTCAAAGAGCATCGTGGTTTATTGGTACTTTTACTTGAAGATCCAAGGTCGTGAATTCGAAACCGATCAACACTAACAACTTTTTTAATGGATAGTAATGGAATGGTAACCTTTATAGCTATAGAATGGCGAGGAGAAAACTATATTTTTGAATAGTGGATGTCTAAGGTGAACAACAAAGTCAATATAAAAAGTAGTCTTTTTTATTGATTGTTCATATAAATTATTAATAACAAAAATGAACATATAACTTATTAATGTGGAAATTACATGGCTAATGTTATGTGTATACAAAATACCAAAAAATATTGAATTAATACAAATACAATTCAAATTCTATGTTACTTATATATCTTATATGTCAGACATATTTTCCATTTTATTTTGCCATGGTTTATATATATTTTTAAAATATATAAAAAAATATATTTTAAGAAATAGAAGCGTACATTTAATACACATAACATTAGCAATGGTCTACTTAACTAATTGAATATTAACTAATGAGTTTTCTTAGGTTTAGATAATTTTTCATATTTGCTTTTGGAGGAGTACCAGAGGAAGAAGGGGATCGCAAGGGATGGCAGTGTCATAACTGCAAATGCACCCCAGTCCAGGATATGAGATGAGAATTTGCGATCGTAGTCTTTGAATGCAACAATAGCTCCCTCTCCTGGAGAACTGCTGATGGAGTACACAACCTGAAAAGGGATAAATGATTCAATTAATTTTACCAAGCATATATATATTTTATTAAGGACTAGCTTTCACCCATGACTTTGTTCATGTAACTGAGATATGTTTTCTGACTGTAAAAGTAGCCTATATCCTAATCCATTCCATACAGTATGTATACCTATGCCAAATTTTAAAATTATTGGTATAGCAATTAAGGTGCTATAGAGTAACAAACTCACTTTTACATTTATAATATTAGGAAGGATTAACATTTAACTAATATTAAAAACTAGTACTAATAAAAAAATATCAGTATTTTAATTATTCAATTTATTTATTTAATTAATATGTATTTTTTGTAAGCTTATCTTAAGCTTGGAGTACTAGGGGTGCAGAAATTCAGTGTGAACCAGATTGATTGACAGATCAAATGAATTAGTAGTGCAACCATCAATACTAATATTATAAAGAGGAAAGATTGATTAGTTGAAATGGATAGAATCAAAAACATTGTTTTAAAATTCTCTCACCTATAGTGATATAGAAAAAAATAAATAGAAGCTATACATTATTTAAAAGTTAGGAATAAGAGATCCCTATGCACATTACAGTAATGTAACCTAAGGTAATAAATATTTGCCTATTAAAAGTTTATGTAAAATTTATTTTTTTATTTATCCATGTGAAGCTGGGGTCGATCACTAGTTAGTATTATTAGTTTAATAATATTGCAATTTTATTTTACAAACTTACCTCAGTGGCATCTTCGGTAGCTTTGTATGTTACTTCAGCGGAGGTAAAGTTAAAGTAACCATATCTGTTAGACCTGACTGTGACTACATGCGAGACATTGGTTTGTGGCGGTATCCTGTCGATCTGCGCGGTTAGCTGCCCACCCACCACTGTGAACACTTCGGGATGGAAGCCGTTGTCTACCAATTTCACATCCACCGCTGGTGCACTGCCGACGTTGTATAGCGTGTACTTCACCAAAATGTCCATATTTTCAACTAAATATTTATTTAGCACTTGTTTTGACACCAACAGCTTCGCCACTGTAGGTTCATCGTCCGCTACTACTGCAGCCACGATGATTAGAATCAGGGATAATAATTTTGCAGCCATTCTGTCTGAAATATTTTATATAAAAATTAGTACACGCAACACCGACATTCGAGTGTAAATTATGCCATAATTTGAATGAAATCAAGAAAATTAATAAATGATATACAATAGAAATGAGAGCTAATTTAATATCGTGTATTTAAAAATAAAAGAACCTTTTAGTTTTAGTATTATAAAAGTTTTTAAAGACGAGAAAGGAAAAATAGTAACTAAGTATTTGATCTCGTCAATGACGGATCTTTTTACGTGGCTGACATTTCACTCCACGCGTTCAAAAAATTGCCACAATTCGAAATACAAAATGTTAACGATGCGTTTCTTACAAATATTTCTTGAAAGATGGTTTTCAAAAGTCACTTACTACCGTAATTTTATAAAATACAGAAATGAATTTGAAAGTAAATTAATTATTAAATGTAAAAATTAAACAATATAATATAAAGAAAAAGACTGTTATGGAAAAGAAACTCATTATTTTTAATACTTGTCAGAACGCAGTTGTTTGGTTGTCAAACGTACATGTTTGTTTTCGTGTTCGTGGGCTGGATTTGATTTGCGAAAATGTATTTCTATTTAGATTCTTGATTATTTATTGAATTTTATAAGTAGTTGTCTATCGAAGTAACATTAGTGAATAAAGTATTACATTAAACTATGACAGAGAAAGAAGATGACACCAAAAAACCTGATACAGAAACATTAGACGACGAAGCTCTAGAGAAGTACGGTATTTTATTTTGAAATTGACTGTTACTTTCTATTTATTTTACTAATTAACGGGGAAAAACGAACTTTCAGACTAGCCGTCGAGGAGCTAATGCGGGAAGCAGTGCAAGGAGCTGCCAGAGCTGAAATAGTTGGCCCCTCCGGTTGGGTTAAAGTGCCACAACAAAAAACGAATAAACGATTCCTCGTTAATACGCTCAGGCATGCTGTAAATTCTAACAAGTACCATAGTTCAAGAAACAGCCGCAAGCAACCCTATAACAGATCACCTAAACGTGACAGGTACCCTGAGCCTTCTATAAAAAAAGACAGACCAAAAAATAGATATTAAAATGGCAGACTATAATGTTGATGATGTTATAAAAAATATTTTTGACAGCAATGATTCAAATAACTGGAAGCCTACTGATAAGATTCCATTAGTAATTAAAGAAATAGAACATTTAAAGAATGATATGAGATCTTTTTTGAGTTCTAGTGATTATGATATAGCATCAATATTGGATGAGGGAAAAGAGCTGTGCGCAGAGAGCAAAACATTAGTGGATGAAATGGAATTGTGTAGACAAGAGATTGAGCAGGAAACAATGGCTGAGATATTACAATCTATAGAGAACCATGACCAACTTGCCAAAGAATTGCAAAGTGTGAATTTTGCCATAGATATAATTTATGATGTAGTGCAATGTGGAAAGTATGTTAAAGAGTTTGATGATGGGCGTGAGGCACAGAGTTTCACACGGGCCGTGGAGGCTGTGTATGACTTGGTGCAGTATGTTGAAATGCCTGCAGAAGGATTTAAACATTTAGATTTGTACGCAAACACTAAACATACAGCTCAATTAATATTGGATAGTTTGCTGCATGATTTATATGGAGAATGGGACCGATTAGTAAGTTATATAGTTAAGCCAGGCATAAAGAAAACTGTAGTCATTATAACACTAAACTTAGATGATTCTATGATTGTTATTGATGTATTAAATGCACTAGATAGAAGCAAAAAGTTGAAGGAAAAGGTATCAGAATTTTCACAGTTCCTATTAAAGGATGTCCTTATACCTATTATTCATAATGATTGTACAGTTTTTGCTGAAACAGAGGAGTTGATGACTGTCACAATAAACTATAAGCAGGATTTTAAACCGGAATATGATGCAGTTATAGCAAACCTTCGGTTATTATTCCATTATCTCAGTAACAAATTGAATGTGAAGTTCAATAGAGAATGCTCAATAATGAGAATGCTGGGCAAAGAAATATGTCAACCGTTCAGTGATGTCATAGTGAAGGATTGTCTAATAGACACAATACCTAATAATATTAATGAACTTCAAAGTTATGGTAAAATAACTGTTGAAATTGAAGATTTTCAGCGTTTTCTTACAGTAGTCAAGTTCTTTCCCGATGACAAGTTCTCTATACTTCATTATGTAAATAACATTGATGTATTGTTTGCTAGTAAGTCCTGCCAGTACTTTTTGGAAACTGCTCGGACTATAATGTTTAAGGATTTGAGTGTTACTATGTCTATTGGTGTAGAGAGCATACCAGAATCAGATGAAGGGCCAAGTGACACTTTTGATGACAATGTGGAGGGGGCTCTGAAAATCCTTGATGAAACCATTCCAGTGAGTCTATTCTATTTCCCAAGATGCATGATATCAAAGACAGCTCAGGAATTGTTAGATTTGGTGTATATGATGATGGAGCAAGCTGTTCAATGTTCAGATGTAGTATGTAAGAAGCTCTATAATACAACAAGACTCGTTTTTGAATTGTATGATGCTGTGGTCCCTTATCACCATGAAAATTATTTACAAACGATTCCACAGTATGTTGGTATGTATTAATTACTTAACTCACATAGTTGTAGTTTTATTTACATACATACATATCTGTCACGCCTGTCTCCCATTAGGGTAGGCAGAAACAATGGAATTTTATTTTGCTTTTCTAAACATGTTTGTATGCTTTAAAAGCAATAAAGCTTATTTGATTATTATTCTATTGTGGGTAAATTGAGTAATGAGATTGGTAACATAGTAATTAGTATAGCAATATTAAAAACACAAAATTTTGTAAAAAAGTTAGGTTAACATGTTATTTTTACTATTAGACTTTTATAAGTTTCAATTTCTTATAAACAAACAAATGACTCTACATTTGTTATATATATATATATATATATATATATATATATATATATATATATATATATATATAATTTTTTATAAAAAAAATCTTGTTTTTGTTCCAGCTCTATTCCACAACAATTGCATGTACCTAGCACATAATTTGCAAACATTTGGGGACAAGTGGTTGATTCTGATGGAAGGCCGCGAGCTTGACTACCCTATCAGCTTTGTTGACTTGGTTCATAAGCTCAGGGACCTCGGTTACAAGCACCTAACCATGCACATGCAACAACAACGCAAACAGATATTAGACAACATTCGTTCTTCAGGTGTGTGTATAACAAGTAAATTATCCTACTGTCAATATAAAGTCTATTGTATTATCAATGTCACAGTTTTACTTCTTTCTGTGATGAGAATGTGAAACAGCATTTTTTTTATGCAACTTAGAATGGCAAACAAGCTGACAGCTCACCTGATGGAAAGTGGTAACCATTGCCTATAGACATGAGCAGTATCATGGACATAACAGAGTATACTATTTCGCCTATGATAACTTCAATGCATTGCCATTCCTGATGGCTCAGGTGTTATTCCTCTGTACTCTGTAAATTCATTGCCATATCCCACCCTTCAAACTGAAACACAGCCATGCAAACACAGCATGCCCTGCTTCATACATTATTGTGTAACAATGCTACCTCTAAACAAAATACGCAATGCAGAGGCGTATTATAGACAACAAGGTGAAATCGCAATTGTTAGCAACCTTTGAAGGAAGTGTTCTATCATTGAAACTGAACATCAAAGAAATATGGGTAAAAAAGTAACAAAGCTACCTTCCATATTAACATGCTGCATCTAGCTGTTTAGTATAGAAATATTTTGTTTATGAAATTTGTTTCCTAATATATTCCCTAGCGCTATATATGTATATTCTTAGTTTAACTTTTCATAAAGAGGGTTTTGCTGGTAATTACCTTGATAAGAGGTTTGACAACCGCAGTTAGGCTTTGCTTTAAGAATGCTGCTGCACATCTCTCGGCCTTAAAGTTCCCTTAGTTGCCTCTTACGACATCCATGGGAAATAAGCAATGGCCCATTCTATGCCGGGACCACATTGCAATTAATATATTTATGTATAACTAATGACTACTTTTTCATCCTGTTTATTCTGTAATATCTGTAGTGTTGATTGTTCATCTATAAATCAAATATAAATCATTTTCAGATCTAAACTGCATTGTTGTGAAAGATGTGCTCAGTGAGAATGCAGAGGCAGCTATAAGACAGTGTTTGAGACAATTGCATCTGTTGAAAAATGTGTGGATTGGAGTGTTTCCTAACAATGTTTTTACAAGGTATTTTTTTTTTTATATTTTTTTAAATTTGTATTAACTAAATGTAAAGTAGGTAGACAAAGTGCAAACGCCATAAATTTCATCTACATATTTTAATACTCAAAAGGACATGTAATTTAAAACTAAATATATATTATAAAATTTTTAATGTGGCTATAGCAGCAGTTAATCTGATTATTTATTATAAAAAAAAGTTTAGAACTAATATTTTTTTATTTTATAGACTTATGGCAACATTGGTTAACATGTTTGTTGATGAGCTGATACATCGCGTGTGCACAGTTGAAGACATTTCTATGGAGATGGCAACACAGCTTACTGAAATTTACACGCTCGTTGTACAGAAAGCACCGCAACTGTTCCAGGTACCAAATATTATTGTTACTATTGTATTTCTAAATGTAGGTATGAATTTTATTGATTTTAATTGACAGAATTATAAAATAATATTTACTTTTATATATTGTATCCTTTTATTTCAATACTAAATATATATTAATTTTCAATTGCAGAATCCCTCAGATGTCGAAAAATATGTGAAGTCATGGATTAAATTGCAAGAATTGATATTTGTTCTTGGCGGGTCACTCAAAGACATAGAGAATCACTGGAAAGATGGCACAGGACCTCTTGCTATACATTTCAGAACAGAAGAGCTAAGAAACCTTATAAAAGCGCTATTCCAGAATACACAGTTTCGAGCAAACTTGCTGATAAAAATAAAATAATTCGAGTTTTAAATAGTCGTTCGCTGTTCTTATTATAATAATAATTGTGTTCAATGGTTCTTGAGTTTTATTATTTAAATCCTTTGTTATGTACGTGATTAAATTTAGCAAGATTAAGAGACATACCAGAGGAACATTTTGTATAAAAGTCGTCTGCATGGGTACTAACATCTCATTCGTGTTTCTGCCGTTAAATACTTGTGTTTGCATATCTATGTTCGGTTTTAAGGGTGGGTATATCTTAATGAAATTTCATGCCCACGCTTCAAATAGCAACTTGTGAAGGGTACCATAGGTGACACGGCATACTCTATTGTCCATGGCGCTGTTCATGTTTATAGATGATGGTTACCACTTTTCATCACTTGGGCCATCAATTTGTTATTCTAAGTCGCATAAAAAGCTGACAAAAAAGGCATATCTTGGTTTAATATATAGTCTTGGTATAATGTACTACATACTAAGGTTTAATTGGTATTTTATTACTACGAAAAATAAGATTAAATAATAATTATTGTCAATTTGTAACATAATTATGAACATAATAGAACATAAGTAAATAACAGTGGGTCTACCATGAAATGAAAATCCGAAATTTCGGACTCAATTTCGTGTTTTTGTTTATACCAAAATTGGATCAATAAATGGAGTTTAACATTTCGTTCGTCATACATCCTATCATAAAAGTTAAAAGGAACAATATTTTAACATTTTCAATATTTCCAAACGGCATGTATTATGTAATTTTAACATCAAATTTCTGTTTCGTTTGACTCCGAAATTTCGGAAAACATTTCATGGTAGACCCTCAGTATATATATAATAATATGTCATTGACGTAGTATAATGTTAATCTAAAATAATGTTTTTAGAAAATACTAGAATGAACACCTAGTTAGTAACAGAAGATAGTATCGATTTTTGTATGCTTATATACTAAACCTGGACCCTTCTTTATAACAGGGAGTATTTATGAAAGAGTACATAAATTTGGATCGATATCGTCGATTCCATAAATGGATAAAAAAAAAATTAAATGTCAGTCATTTTTCTATCAATCAGTCATAAAGATTGTCAATGTCAATAATCGACGATAACCTCGAAATTTCAAAAGTTTAAGTTATAAAAAATGCTAAAATATTTTTTCTACAAATTAAAATGAATTCTATTATAAAAGTTCTATGCCAAAGAAATATCAAATTAAGTAGTATTACAAGAATAAATCGCCGCTATGCTACTACCAAGAAGAAAATGCACGATCCAAGTGAAGAAGAGCAGTTGCCAAGTAAATAATTATCTTCATTGTTTCATTAAAAATGGTTTTAATTACATAAATTAGCCATCTAGTATGATTATTGTCTATTATTATTTAAAATAATTCTATGTTAATTTACAAATTAGTTTTATAACCTTTTTCTTAATTTAGTATTCCAGTATCCACTGAGCAAAAGTTCAGACCGGCGCGTATATGTGTGGGGACTGGCGGAAACCGGTGCACTCGGTGTACATTTACCAAGGGGTAAACGAGGCAAGAAAGCTTACAAAAATGACTTCTCGTTGGCATGGCACCCTATGAGATCCAGTATTGCAGAAAGATTTGATGTATGATTTTCTAAACTTTCTTTTATTAAATAGTATATTATTTGTTCAAATCATAGCAAATGATTTGAACAAAAACATTGACAATGGAGTTAGAGGCATATTCTTAACATTCATACTGTATAAGTCATTAAAATCATGCTCAATTTAGGTATTTGCTTGTTTTATGTATTATAAGCAGTGAAATGTAAATATTTATTAAATAAGTATTTATTAACACAATCAATAAAGGCATTTATTTTATGAGGCACAAACTCATAAGAAGGGAAGGCAACTTAAGCTTTGTCTTTGGGATGGTGCTTGTACATCTGTCGGTCTCCCAATGATGTAACACTGTTAATACTATTTAATATTATATTGTCATTCAGTAGTAATTAATTAATAGTAACAATACTGTTATAGTTAAATGTTGATTTCAAAATCTACTTTATTATTTTTAATACCACAGCTTTGCATTGTAAGACTAGTAAAAATTTATCTATAATTCCATAGCTTCTTTTATTCGACATTATAACGTCAAACTACTAATACCAAAATCCTTAGTATTCCTTTTTAATATTCTATCTCATTTCCTGTTTGTTAATGGCATAATGGGCAATACTAGTCCTTTGCCAATATTAAAAAAATAACCAGAAAAAAAACTAAATAGATACATTATATTATTTGATTGCAGGTGACTCAAGTAGCTTGTGGGTATGGTTTCACAGTGATAGCAATCAAGACAAATGAGCAGCACAAGGTGTTTGGTACAGGGATCAACACAGACTCACAGATAGGATACCATGCACCCCGCATTGGTCACCCATTAGAGCTGTTACTTAGTCCAGCACCTATTTATATTCCATACAAATCATTGGAGACTAAGGTGTAATTCTATTGAATTTTAATATCATTATTTAATAAATAGCTACATCTTAAAAATCTTGCTAAAACTATGATGTGATTTAAGCTGTATTATCAACTCACTATATGAGACATATACTATATGACGCACTGTTTACTATCTATAGGGAATTCATTCTAACAGGGTTCAAAGAAATTTACTACTGTGAACACTTAGGCTGTGGAATGAGATCTCTACCGAGGTTTACACTAGGAAATACAGTATGGGTTTCTTTAAAAAGGGTATATGAAAGTTTCTTCAGGGTTGGCGATGCGTACATGACACCCGTAGGTGTCCATAGGTCACAGTGACTGTATCATCAGACATGCTGTATGCTTGTTTGCCATCTTGTGGTATAAAAGAAAAATGAGACACAAGGTACACAAAAAGTGGTCAGATGTAATTAAAAGTGTTTTGGGTGCATTGTGGCTCAGGTCAGCAATGGATAGGAAAAAATCGAAAATACTGGAGGAGCCCTTTGTGTCTAGAGGACAAGACTAACTACTGTTGTGCAACATAGCTATTGAACATCTATACTAATATAAAGAGGAAAGATTTGATTGTAATAGATAAACTTAGAAACTACTCAACTAATTTTAAAAATTCTTTCATCTATAGAAAACTATATTATCAGTAACGGTTATATATTATGTTCCAACATGCTATTTACCTGTGCGAAGTCAGGCTAGATCGTTAGAGTAGAATATATTTTCTTTATTTTTAATAATAAAAAAATGTAGAGAATTACATTATTAAATTACCTCATTTAATAATGTAATGCTCTACATTTTTTTATTATTAAAAATTAAAAAAAAATTATAATATAGCACTATGCATGTCTCTGTATTAATTTTGTTAATATTGAATTTACATTTTTTTTAAATAAAATAATTTATAATAATTTGTAGATTGTTGGTTTAAGTGCAGGCCGTGCACATACAGCAATATTGACGGACAATGAAGGTGTTTATACATTAGGTAATAATGCATATGGACAGTGTGGTAGGAAGATTAATCCCAATGAGGAATACAGGGGTAGCATGGCGTCCCATAATATAAGGAGACTGGGAAAAGAAAATATCACCGGTATATGCTGTGGACAAGACCATACGTAAGTGTAGTGAGAAAAAAACTTTTAATTAGTAACTTGTAAGGTTTCTTTTACAATATGAACTAATAAAGTCGGCATAGAAATTCTTGACTATGACGTCATGAATTGGAGTTGTTTTATGATATATATCTTTTATATTTTTAGCCTATTTATAACAGAATCTGGGAAAGTGTATGCATGTGGTTGGGGTGCTGATGGGCAGACAGGTATTGGCACATATGAAAACCAGGGTATACCTGCACCAGTAAAAGGGGACATAACAAGTGAAAAGATCGTGAAAGTCGCGTCCACTGTCGACTGTGTATTAGCTTTGAATGGTAGGTATTTTAAATATTTTTAACCAACTTCAAAAAGAACTTTTTATTTTTCGTACCTCATAACTTCTTTAATTCTAAACCGCTTTGGAAAATTCTATTTTTACCTTTTTACAATTTTGCGTGATAAATAGTTATGAGTGATTCCTTTAGAACTCCTGTATTTATCTTCTCTTATAATTTCTGTTTCTTTTTAATGTGTAAACATCCATTTTATAATTTTTTAAATAATACGTCAAAATTCATTTTATGCGTAAGTATCTAGAACACTGGTAAAAAAAATGAGTCAGCTAATTTAACAACTATATGGCTGACAAAAATTTGACTAGTTTTTGAGGCTTAATGTTCTATGTATATAATGTAACGTGAAATATTATTGATTAATTATGTTTTATATATTTTATATTTGTAGATAAAGGTGAACTATTTGGTTGGGGGAACTCTGAATATGGCCAAGTGCCAATGAATACAAAACAGCAACAAGTCAATATGTCATATGCCCTAGTCAATTTTACTAAAGGATTGGGAAAGATTATGGACATAGCAGCTGGGGGATCCTTTTGTTTGATAGTTAATGGTTTGTATTAATCTATTTTTTTTTTAATTTATATCTCCCCACTTAAGGAGAGGAGATTGTAAACTAACCTGGACCCCAGGGAGAGAAACCGGCATACAATGCGGGCAGTATATAAGAGCACCGGTTTCTGCATCTTTCCCGGGAGTGAGTCGCCTCTTTTTATTATTATTATTATAATAATCAGTATATATTTAAATTTTTCTATATGTCTCCTAGATATGTATATGAGTGTTGACATAGAAAATCTATCCCCTATAAATCATGCAAACAAAGCAGTGGTAAACAGTTTATTATAATTTATATTTTAGAAAACAATGTGTACAAATATTGAAATGTATATTTTTATACTTAATTTTTAGTGTCGTATAGAGAAATACACAAATAATATTAAAAAATAAATAATTATATAATATAAAAAATTAGAAAAATCTCGTCATATATTTAAAACATATAGGTACTTACACAGTTTGAATGTATATATGATTTCTCACCAAATTAACCCTTCTTTGCATGATTTTTTTATTGGTAAAATCAACGTCATATAATCAGTGATATAATTCATGTTTAAAATTAAAGAAAAAAATGGTTAAAATAATAAATTTGACAGCTATGTTTTTTTTTTCTACAATGGACCTTAAAAAATTATCCAGACACAATCAACTTAAAGTGAACTTGATCTTATATATAAGTTTTAGGCATTCAATGTTATGATGGAAATTTCTGCCAGTATACAAGGAAGGGTTAAGTTTTGATATTTTATAACAATTCTTTGTAACTAAACTAAATGAACTTACAATTAATGAAATTTTTCAGAAAACGGTGACGTTTTTGTATGGGGTTTTGGCTTACTAGGTCTAGGACCTAATGTTCAGCACACAGCCAGCCCAAAACAAATTCCACCAGCTCTATTTGGGCGGAATGAATTCAACCCTGAATGTGTTGTTGAAAGTGTCGCATGTGGGATTGGTCATTTAGCTGCGATAACAAATACCGGAGATCTATACACTTGGGGGAGGAATAGACATGGATGCCTCGGCCTTGGACATGCAAAAGATCAACATTTTCCCCTGAGGGTATCAATAGGAGCTCACGTCTTGAATGTGACATGCAGTGTTGATCATACTATAGCTATGTGTAAACCATTTACTTGAGATTATAATCAGTGCTATTTGTATATAATTATTTGTTAAGACTGGAGTTACATACATATGTACAAAATTTAGAAGAAAAGTTGTTCTGAATAGATTTTTGCTTTTTTTTAAGTTGTATATTTTATAATGTGATAGTTAATTATATTCAGGTAGATATATTGTTAAATAAAGACATAAATTTTATATAAATTTATTTTAATTGGTATAAATTACTATGTTACTGTCTTGTTAGGTATTAACACAACTTTACAACTAATACAACAACTTTAAAGAGCATACTAGAAGAAAAAAATAGGGCAAAAGAGGAAGGGAAAGACCCAGAAATATATATATGGGACCAATACAGGAAACAGTAGTATTTTTTTTATGCAACTTAGAATGGCAAACAGGCTGACAGTCCACCTGATGGAAAGTAGTAACTGTCACCTATAGATATGAGCAGTACCATGGATATAACAGAGTATACTGTTTCGTCCATGATACCCTCATATGTTACCATTTTTGAAGACTCACATGTAACTCCTCTGCACCCTGTAAATTCACAGGTGTCACGTTGTATAGAGAGGCCAAAGATATGGCCTGGAACAGAGCTGGCTGGAAAAGAAATCAAGATTTAGCTGCACCAATAAGAGGAAACTCTTAAATAAGAAAAATGTTTAAACTAATTAGAAAAAATATATAGAATATTAATTCATAATGGAAATATACTGTTAAAAATAATAATATCTTTGTATATGTTAACTTTATTGAAGGAGATAGTGTCATTGTGAATATATGGCACTTGCCCATTCAATACCACATTGACTATTGCTTGCACTCGTCATGAAATGGTTCTAATGTACGGAAATCCCTCCAGGCGGGAGGCAACAATGATGTGTGGTGTAGGTGGCACCCACATTTCTTGCAAGGTTCACTAAATAGGTTCACATAACTGTGTAGCCATGTCATGAATGATCGGACAGCCAGCTCGGGGAGTGTTGGTGAATAAAAGTGTAACATTGCTGCATGGGCATTCTCTGTGACTTTCCTGAACACATGGTGCCTTGACTCTGTCCACAGCTCCAGTGTCTCATTGTAACCTCTCACCATAACCCACTCCATCAATAATCCCTTGAAAGCGACCACAGCCTTCAGTACATGGCTCAAATTTATCTGTACAACAGCATTGCTAGCATACGGACGGGAAATTGTGATTTTCATGTCATTGTATGATCTATCAATGTTGTTGATAACATTGTCCACTTGCAGCGGCGATACATTGTGAGTACTCTGTAACTTGCCGCGTCTTTTCGTACTTCCAGAGTTGATATATGACCGCTTTAAAGAATTCTGACTCAGTAACGAGTGGGCGAAGGAACTGTACTCGTGTATTTTGTCAGTCCATTTGTAACTGTTTACTAATTGAGTATATAATCCCTGCCGCTCTTGAGTAGTTTCTTGGCTTAGATAAGTCGTGTTTCCCAAGTTGAATGGCGCTGTAGGTATCGGGAGGCCGGTGACAGTTTGTTCCAAATCACGTAGATTGATATTAACATTAGTAAGGAGCTCCTGGAGCTCAAGAAGAAACTTTTCCTTGCCGTCTTCTCCGTGGTCAGCGCGGAGGCCATTTGCTAACGTTTCGAAAACATGGCTGACGCTTAAGCGAAGGGTCCTGAGAGAAGTAAGCGCAGAATTCAGTTGATCTACGTTTATTGTTTGATTCATTTTGAATAATCACCTTTTTTTATGTTGTTGCTGTAGGTTATAAAACACAATGCCCATTTGTAAATTAAACAAATTCTAACTTAGCAATAAATTTCTACAAAGACGAAACAAAATTTGAGATAGAGATTTGTTTTTCTCGACAAGCTTGCATTAGAGTTGCAGTTTGCAGATAAACAAGCAGCAAAGAATATAATAACTGCAGTTTTTGCAGTACTGAAGTTTATGTTAGTGTTGCCAACTTTAATTCTATTGTTCCTTGATTCTAATAATATTTATCCCAGAGTAAAGACGTTTCAAAAGTTGGATAAAATAATTTTTGTTAGGTAATTTCGAAGTACCGTAAATATTATGTAAATATTATGTATTTATTATCTATTCAGAGATTAATTAAATCTCCATTTTGAGATAACTTTTTTATCCGTTAATGCGTTATTGCTGAGTGGCGGTCACGTTGGTAATAACAAATGTAAAGTTTGTTTACTATTGTATTTGTTGTTTGCAATGTTTTCTTTCTTTCTTTCTTATTGTAACAAGATTTCTTATTTTTCATAAAAAAAATATATTTAACAAAAATGCAGTATACTATACATAATACAATAGAAGATTAATATAAACTTTAAATTGATATTTTATATCGTTTAAGACTAAATATAAAATTTTGTAATACTTCGTTTATGTACTTGAATTTGGGTATATTTAAATATTTAATTTTAATTATAGGTGCAACAATGTTATCAATTTAATTCAATAAACGATTAAATTATTTTTTTTTGTTACGTTTTTTGTATAGACCATAATTTAAATATTTACTAAAATGAAGGGAAATTTTTGAAAGCAACATTGAGTTTATGTATACATATGTATTCAATTAACAATTGATACTGACAGTGACAAATAGATTTTTTTTTTTTTTCTTTTTTGTGGCGTTCACCCCGATATTAGGGTATTTTGCCAAGTACAAAACGGGGAAACGATAATAGTAATAAAAATATCTAACACAAACGAATTTAGAAAGGATAAGGATTAGGTCTAGGATATTTATAGGATATGAAGGATATACTTGTACATATGAGAATATACTTATAAATATATAGGAAAAGCAATTGATGCAACTATAAATGTATTCATGTAATATAACTAAATCTTAATATTGTTATCATATATATATGAAGATAGTATTTTATAGATAATAGGATCATTGGAAGAAAGTAGAGTAAGAATAGAAGTTGGGAATGGAACACGGATGGATCGGAGATGATTAAAAAGGGAGGTGTGGTCAAATTTAGAACATGAGAAGAATATATGATTCAAGTCTGCCACTTCAGCACCGCAATTACACGACGAACTTTGTACAATACCAAGCTTGTATAAATGAGAAGGTGTGCATACGTGACCTAGACGCATACGAGTTATAATAGTTGTTGCGGACTTTCCAAGCTTTAATTTACAAAACCATGGTTTGAAAGGAATATCGGGTTGTATAAGGCGATAAAATCTTCCTTTTATTGTACTTGTTTTTTCCCAATATTCCTTCCAGGCATACCTTAAATATATTTTTGGGAGACAAGCTAGGTCACTACAGTAATTATGATACGGATACATATCACCACAAGTTACAGCCTCTCTTGCAATAAGGTCAGCTTTGTCATTGCCGCTAATACCACTGTGTCCTGGTAACCAGGCAAAAGAAACGGAATACCCTCTCAACATGCAAAGATAAAGACTTTGTCTTATGTCACAAATAATGGGATAAACTGGTTTTGATTTAAACGGATATTTGGCTAGAGCTTGCAAAGAGCTCATAGAGTCAGTGAAAACTATTGCCTTATGTAATTTCATTAAAAGTATATATTCTACAGCTTTTAAAATACCATAACATTCCCCGGTAAAAACTGAAGACTCCGGTGGAAGTTTAATTTTTTGAACGATATTAAATTGTGAATGAAACACACCCACACCTACACAACCGCTATTGTCTGGTTTTGATGCATCAGTAAAGATGTAGTGCCATTCATTCCATTCAATGTCAGTTATAAACATAAATTTGGCATTCAATTCTGAATCATTTTTTAATAACCCAAAATCATATTTAATATTAGGAGATAAAACTAAAGATTGATATGAGCATTTATAAATGGGAAAACAGGACGATGTAAAAGTGGGAGATTCTATGGATTTATATTTTTCATAACTTTGTATTAAACATGGAGGTTTTTTATGTTTCCAATAAGATGAAGACGAAATAAAGATATGTAGTTGAGATAACTTTTGAATAAGCGGATGATCAGATAATTGTAAACAACGAAAAAAGAAGCGATCAGATAGATATTGTCTTCTTAAAACCAAAGGTGGATCACCGACTTCGAGCTGTAAAGCATTGATTGGACTTGATTTCATTGCTCCAGAGATAATCCTCAAGGCCTTTGATTGAATTAAATCCAATTTCTTAAAAGCAAATGAACTTCCTGGAGCTAACAAAAAAGTTCCATAATCAATGACACTCCTTATAAGACCATTATAAGCAAGTTTTAGTGAAACGGGATGTGCTCCCCACCAAACTCCAGCAAGGCACCTAAGAATGTTGAGGTTACGCTCACATTTCGTAGAAATATAATTACAGTGGGACAGACCTGTTAATTTATTATCTAGCACAATACCTAAAAATTTAATTTCAGTCTTTATAGGAATGTATGAGTTATCATAAAGCACCTTAATTTGTTGCGGTGATCTCATTCTTGAAAACAAAACTACACTACTCTTGGTTACAGAAAGATTAAGACCATTTGCATCTAACCACGTTTTTAACAAATCTAATGAATCAGATAATTTGGCAGAAGCAGATTCTATGGACTTCGCAATAAAATATAATAAAAGATCATCAGCATATTGTAAAATTTTGACGGATTTATCAAGGAATAATTCTAGATCGTATGTGTATATGTTAAATAAGATTGGACTGAGAACAGATCCTTGTGGAAGGCCTTTCCATACTGTTCTAGATAATTTGGTATCTTCATCTAAATTCATATATATTGTTCTTTCTGATAAAATATTAATAATGAAATTAGAAAGCATTACCGGTACATTTAGAGCTTGTAATTTAGTTTTTAAAATAGAAATTATTACATTATCATAGGCAGAATTTATATCTAAAAAGGCTGAGAGGATTGACAAATTTTGTGAGAAAGCTATATGAATATCTGAAATAAGAATGCTCACATTATCTAAGGTGCTCTTACCTTTCCTAAAACCAAACTGGTTCGGGGATAGTAAGTTATTACTTTCTAAAAACCATTCTAGACGGTTTTTCACTAAATGTTCAGCTAGCTTTAGTAAGACAGAGGAAAGTGCAACAGGACGGTATGAAGATGGTTCAGAAGGTGGTTTATGAGGCTTTAGAAATGGTATAATAATCTGAGACTTCCATGAAGTAGGTATATTTCCCGAAATAATTATGGAATTAATTATATTTAAAAAGTAAATTAATGTCGCATCGCTAGCATTTTTAAAAAAGGAATACGGTATACCGTCTTCTCCCGGTGCAGAGTCTTTAATAGAAGCTAGAACACCTTTAAGTTCTACTAGAGTAAAAGGAGAGTCAAGTTCGAATAATTCGTCAGAGACGGATAGAGAAATATTGTAAAGGCATTCCGGCACATAACTAGGAGCAAGGCGATCTAAAAATTTATTCGCTAAAGTTAAATCGAGTGCAGAACGTGATGTATGATCACTAAAGGCAGATCTGAATCTTTTAATATTATTCCAAACGACTGATGAATTAACTTCTGGACAGATAGAAGAACAAAATCTTCTCCAGCCTTCTAATTTCTTTTTTTTCAGTAGTTTTCGAGTAGAACGTGAAACTGCGGTGTAAATTTCAAAATTTTCTGGTGTCATGTAATTATTATAATTTTTTTCAGCCTCTTTACGATTTTTAATTGCTTCCGTACAATCTTTGTCCCACCAAGGTGGCGAGGGAATTTTCCCTGAAGCACTATTTTTAACAGGAAATAATAAATCAGCAACCTCCTTCATATTTATCATCAAGTCATTACAACATTGATGTTCATTTCCATGGTAAACAATAGGTAACTCCGATATTTTATTATCTAAATATTGTTTGTAAATATTCCAGTCTACATTTGATAAATTATATTTAAGCCGAGGACCACTCTTTCGACTTGAGGGAATGGAAATTGGAAAAGAAAGAATGAGGGGAAAGTGATCGCTTCCGAAAGTAGAGGAATGAGGATACCACGACAGTGAAGAAGCTAAATCAGAAGAACATATTGAAATGTCAGGAGCACTAAACCCTTCATTCGGTGCAGTTCTACGTGTTGGTACATCTGAGTTAATAATACATAAGTTGTAAGTGTCAATTATCGTCAGGAGTTTTCCACCATAAAAATTAGAAGTAGAACTGCCCCACGATTGGTGTTGAGCATTAAAATCGCCCATTACGAGAAAAGGTTTAGGTAAAATTGAAAATAATTGTTCTAGTTGTGAATATATTTGGCATGTAGGATCAGGAATATATAAAGTAACAAAACAGATACCATTTATAATTATAGCAGCTGCATTAATGCCGCTATATACAGGAAGCGAAAAAGAAGAAAAAGGAAGGGAGTTTTTGACCAATATGGCAACACCGCCATATCCGTCAGCTCTATCATCACGGAGACTTGTAAAGCCTGAAATCCTAAAAGGATATCCTGGCTTTAACCAAGTCTCTTGGAGAGCTATTATAAAAGGATTATATTTATTAATCAAATAAAATAAGTCTGATTTCTTGTTTGTTATGCTACGACAGTTCCACTGAATTATTAGGACTTTGTAATCCATTGTGAGAAGTTAATAATTGAGAAAATACATTGTAAATGGCATCGTTGGACGGTGGTAAAGTTGTTTGTATCATTTTCGATTGCGATAACACTTTAATAAGCATGAGAATAATATCAAAGATGGATTGATTATTGTCAATATTATTTGATGATAATGCACAACCATTAGAGGGAGCAGGAATATTATATTCCTTAACTATGGCTTCATGGGCAGAACGATCATATCCTTGTTGTGCTTTTTGAGGAGAGCGTGGTTTAAGTGTAACTGTTTTTTTATGTGATGATTGAATATGTGGTAATGATGATTTCTCTTTGAGGAAAGAAGATTGAAAATGAGATTTATTGGACGGAGATGATGATGTTAATACATCTGAATATAGTTTAGAAGTGGGAGGATGAAA